CCCTGCTTCCATCATTTACTATGCCACTCTTCGATATGGTTGTGGGTCACATCGATAACAACACTTTCATATAAGACTACAGCGCAGACTGCCACCGTCGGAATCAGACAGACACCGGTTGTCATCGTTTCCAATGGCTATCCCCGACCCCAGCACAGATCTCACCAAAGGTATTACCTGCTGAAACCATTCCACAGGATACCTCGTTGACGTCACGCAGTGTGGACAACCCTTATCACAAACGCGGAATATCTGCCCGGTCTATTGACCCTGGAGTACTCTCTGCGACGAGTGGGCTCAAAGTATCCGCTGGTCGTTCTATACACAGATTCTTTTCCCGCCAAAGGTCATCGAATTCTAGACGCCCGGGGCATCCGGAAACAACATGTCCCCTATCTCCTCCCCTCAGTTCCCAAAGATTACGTCAATGACGTGCGGTTCTACGACTGCTGGAGCAAGCTCACCCCGTTCTCACTGACTCAATACGAGCGGGTGGTGCAACTCGACAGTGATATGATGATCCTGCAAAATATGGATGAATTGATGGAAATCGAGATGGACCCACCAGAGATGGCGGGGACCGGAAACCGTGTATTCGCTGCGAGCCATGCGTGTGTCTGCAATCCACTCCACAAGACTCACTACCCTGAAGACTGGTTTGTGATCCCCTACAGTTCACTTTGCGCGCACTGGTTCAGTGTCACGTGATATTAACCCACGACATTTGCAGGGTCCCAGCCAACTGTGCGTTTACCACACAACATGATAATCCAGAGGCCGCTCAAAGTACAGGCGCCCCGCCCACTGCAGGCCTGGGCATGCCAAATGGGGGTCTGCAGGTTGTGAACCCATCGCGGGCAGTCTATGATAAAATCACGGCCCAACTCACCAGCTCATCAACGTCGAATTATAATTTTGCCGACCAGTCTCTTCTCTCGGACGTGTTTCATGGTCGATGGGTGGCTCTCCCATATGTTTACAATGCGCTCAAAACAATGCGGTGGAACGGTGTGCATGATGCCATCTGGCGGGATGAACGCGTCAAGAACATCCACTATATCCTCAGCCCGAAGCCATGGGATGAGCTCGAAGATTCGCAAACGAAGCAGGGGGGCGCAAAACAGAAGAGGGATCCCTCGCATGCGTGGTGGCGGGAGTTGAATGCAGAGCGACTGAAAGATGACAAGGCGAGGGGCGTGGTAGACTGCTTGGGCTGATGATACCCGTTTGGTATATTCCCCGGCTTGCTTCACCACAGCTACGGCTTCTCACGATACACTGAATGTTCTCGCCCAACTTCAAGGTTGAAGATTGTCCTACCGACTAGCCAGTTTTGTGATCACATGGCTGCAGTTGCTTGTTTGTTGATGATTGCGCATTTCCAAGCGTGCGTTTCTAGCGTGCTGAAAGTCGGTTCTTTCGTCCTAGCGACTTGTGAATGTTAGCTTGTCGACGTATTATCTCTTTCACATCCTTTTTTTTCTGCGATTCATATAGAAGATATAGAAAGCGTTTTCTGTCTAGTTGTTATGCAAAACTAAGATCTCCCTTGTGCACATACCTTTCTCAACACATGACACAGATTTTTGTATCGTGGCAATCAACTGACATCCTTATCGACGAGGCTCACTATAATAAACCCACACGCTGGGCGGAGAAGATCTATATGGCGTTTAATACAAGTTTCAAAGTACATGCGTTCGATCTCGACAACATGACCAGATATACACAGACTATCAGCGCTTGCTGCATCCCTCGGAGAGTCCTTCGTCATATATATGCACCCAATTTGTTCGTTGTCGGCGTCACCCTTTCACGCATCAAATATTAGACTTCAGTACTTATAATAATGCGCCTGTTGATAGTGACCAAAACGGAGCCAGCTCGCGTCTCCGAAGAGATACGATGTGGAAAAGAATCACCACTCGGCTACAAAGGATACCATGACCCTTTTACTCACCGTGAATAATCTCATATTATAAAGTCAAATATTATCTAATAGTGCCCACAAAGCGCAAAAGTTTCTAGATATCTTTTCTAGCTTAGTGGTATACGTTTTCGACTGCTTATATTGCGACAATTGATAACCTTTAAAGTATTGCGACACATGACGTGCTAGAAACACCCCACAACCTTGTGTCATGGCAACTTCTTGCAAGTGATACTGGGCCAATTATCCGTCCTGACGAAGCTGTCTCGAGCTTCTCTACACCTCGCGTGGGACAAAAGCAATACCCAGCCTCCAGGTAGACTACCATTTCAGTGAATATGTTGGAATGTCTAGACGGCATTCGCATATCTGAGATCTCTCTCAAAATTTCAACATTATATAAATCATCTTCCTCGTTAATTGTAAACACGGGGGACCATAGTGTCTAGGTATAGAGAGATCGTGGCGAGTATCAAGGTTGACTGCTTCCATATCTCTCCCCTAATTCGCATCTGATGCCTTCCAATGCGTCCATTCAACTATCTATGCAGTTTATCAAACTGGCCAGAGTGAAACACAGTCAACCGGGCATAGTCTACCGGTTCGGGGGCTGTGCAGTTCCGGTGTCGATAGGTTACCACATGATGATAAAAACATACTCCATGATATACAATCTAGGCATGACCCTAAAATCATTGAAAATCATTGATGATTTTTCAGAATGATGAATATATGCCTGTTGCCTGGTTATGGCGACCAGGTTGATCAAGGGATAGTAGCGCCACGAGACCTAGATAGATAATGTGCTACAAACTGCACTTGTGTCCGGCGGAAAATATCCATGCGATCAGTAGCCATCATGTCCAACAGGAAGAACGAACACAAGCCACAAGGTCTTCTTTTCTATGCCTGCGAACCAAGCCTGGGCGGTCTTTAGTTCGTATGTAGTGCTGCTCTAGTGTCCATTGTGGAGCTTGGCCCATCCACGACGCGATTTATCACGTACGAAGCAGGCATAACCGATTTAAACCGGATCCAGCAGAAAATTCAAATTAAGCTGGTACATCAACCTTTTGCCATTGATGTTTGTTGTTTCTGCTCTTCTCCGAGTAGAAGGCCAAATCGATAGAGAGATCATCATGACTTGAAACCTACATGGGATGTACTGTGGAGAGCGGGAGTGGCAATCGGTGGGGAACCACGAGGGAAGGGCCGCGAGTGATCGGAATGCTCGGCCGGAATCTCCCTCCGAGCCCTCTGGTCCATAGGCGATTAGACTGTTTTCCATCGCATCCCTGCAATTTATTCCCTCATGTCCACTTTCAAGAGGGGTAATCAGTCGATAGTGGTTGCGATGCCAGGAGAGAGGGGAAACCGGATAACGGAGCAGAGTCCTCCGCCTGCTCAGCCCCATGAAATCAACATTCCCTGACAAACATCGGGGGAATGCACTCCGTGAGCGCGATGTGCCGCTACGATTATGGAAATCCACTTGCCTGGGAGACCGTCACATCCATGCATGACTAGAATGGTAGCTTCCTAAATAGGCTCAGCCAAGTGTGGTAGATTCATTCCACTTGCATCACTGGCGCACAGCGACAAGTGATGCCTTCGATCGGCCATGGAGGAAGGCCAACCGATAAACGGGCTCAGTACACTGCGGCTGTTCCATCGGTCGTCTGGACCCCTACTCGAGCCAATTCGAAGAGCACATGGAAGCAAAGCTCCAATGGATCGCAAAATAGTACCGTCGATGCGCGCGAATGGTTTCGGCGCTGAGCTGCACGATGGCATCGACGGCGCCCAGCCATTGTCCAGCCATCCACCTCACATTAGCGTGGTGTCAACCGGTATAGCGGCCATGATTACGACCCGGACGAACCAATGGTCGACGTGACTCCATTCGAAAACCCCTTTTAACCATCCACGGTATAGAGGGAATGACGTATGGATACCATCCCGTCTCCAATCAGAATGGCTTGCCCAGCGTCCAAGAGTGTAACCACCACCATAGGCGATGGGACGGTCGACATGAGATTCTTGGTTTCCCGTTATTCCCCCCTGGTGAAACTTTAGTGAAATGCAATTCGATTGGATCCCTGATGATAGGACCCCTTTTACGTTCCCAATGCTTCCAATTTCTCTTGTCCCCCGAAATGGCTGCAGCCACAAACCGTGGCGTGTCCGTAGTTCTGGTCGAAGGCGTTTCCCTCTTGTCGGTTGACATGCGCGTGGGAGGCTTGGGAACATCGACAAGATAGTTGTGGTTTGATGGCCCCGTTGGTAGATCCGAGTCAGATGGCGTAGGGGATGATATCAGAAGAGACGATCAACCGGAGGAGAGAGAGATGTGGGTGTCAGTGATATGATCAAGAGGCACGGGGTGGAGAGCCTGCCAATACAGGCAACTGCTTTTGCTTTCTCCACCTGCGATTTCACCTCCAATGTCTTCATTTTTCTTTCTTCGCTTCTCCCCACCACTATGATCTTGTTGGTCAATTTTTTCTAAACTTTAATTCGCTCTTCTTTATGCACCTCGCCTATCCTTTCGCCGGATTGACACTGCTTCTCGAAATGCTCGCATTGCATCCAACTTCCCCCGCAAACTGCCGATCCGTCGGCCCACTCTGACAGCGAGCGATGCAAAGCTGACGGAGGGTGGAGACTGGAAACAGGTCCATCCAACGAGCATTCACACGGCCTCCTCTCGCGCAGTATCATGTCTCCTCGTATCGTCCCGGAGCGCGCCCCACCGGGCCCAGGGATCGCAAAGCTCGCAGCGAACGTTGTCCGTGTTGATTGGCGGCCGTGCGCGCATTGTCGCAGTATCAGCCAAGGAAAGTTCAAGGGCAGTAATAATAATATCTCAGGCTGGCTGGGCGGCGACGCCATGGTATAAAAGGTCGCACCATGTCCTGTCGCCCGGGTGGACGCTCGATTGTGTTTCTTCTTCTATGCATTGTCGCTCTCCCCTGACATCCCTGTCTGCGATCAGCTCGGTTTGAAGCCTCTTGGAAGAGTCCCATCTATCATCGACATTGATCAATTGTAGCCGGCTGTCCTGTTCAACATGATCGCTCCAACCGATCCAGTGACGTCCTCAAACTCGGTCATGAATGGTGTGACCCAGTATAATCATGAGGATGTACCACAAGATACCCTGTTTGATAAGGTTATCGTCGTTGTAGGTATGTGATCGGCATCGTGATCGACAACGGCCCCTCCCTCACAACCCCACTAATCTCCTGCTAACGTCCCCACCCTAGGTGGTTCCAATGGCATTGGGGCGAGTCTCGCGGAATTGTGCTGCTCCAACACCTCCTACGTCTGCATCGGCGACATTGATGACCCCCCTGGCGAGGCATTGGCCCGCAAGTGCCAGGATCGCTGGCCCGCCATCTCGGACCCTAACCAACCGCCCAAGCCTCCGCGGGCCTCGTACCGGCATGTCGACGTCACCGACTACCAGTCCGTAGTGGATCTCTTCGAATTTGCCTTTGCGACCTACAAACGCATCGACCACGTCGTGGTCACGGCGGGAAGTATGGCTACGGGAGACAACTGGTTCGACCAGAGCCTTAGCTTCAGGACGGTCAGAGAGGCAAGCTTCCCTTCCCGTCTCACAGGTCACGCATGTCATCTAACTATACCACCAGCCCCCTTCGTCGAAGGACATTGATGTCAACCTCACCGGTTCCCTCTATGTCACCCGGGTGGCGAGCGTCTACCTCCGTCACAACCGAGGCCCCTGGGCTGACCGTTCGATCCTGCTCTTTTCCTGTGCGGCCGGATTTAAAGAGATGCCCGGCGTCCCTATCTACCAGGTCGCCAAGCACGGCATCCAGGGCCTCATGCGGTCGCTGCGCACGTACTTTCCATCTCCGTATACGCACAATTTGCGCATCAACACCATCTGTCCGTGGATGACGCAGTCGCGGTCGGTGCTGACCAAGAACATCGAAGATAGCTGGAACAAGGAAGGTCTTCCCATCAGTACTTACCAGGAAGTGGCCCGAGTGTCCGCCGGTGTGCTGGGCGATAGCTCGCTCAACGGGACGTCGATGTTTGTGGAGGGCGACCGTGCCTGGGAAATCGAGCGAAATATCGATCGGCTCGAGCCCCAGTGGCTGGGCAAGGAGCCGTCCCGTGCTCTCGGGATGGGCCAAACGGTGCTGCGCGATGCATTGGTCTGACGACGTAGAGATCTACGATGTTTCCTTGACGAATTTTCTTACTTCATACCCATCTACACTTTAATGGTGGCTATCGCCTTCAACTGAGAAGGAAAAACCGCAATCCCATGTTTGGATTTCTGGTGGAAGGATCCGTCCTTGGCTGGGTTCGTGGGTGGAATGCTAATTCTATGTTTCGGTCTTTATTTCTCTCTGGGTCACGTTTATGATGGCTATGATTTACACGCTTGTCCCGGGTTTCCTTGTTGCGGTTCAGCATGTTGTGCTCACTCCTTTGGTTTTCAATTGACCTGTATTATGCATACTCGTACTCAATCTCGCGCGTTTCGATGTATTGTTGCTCTCCTGAAAAAGTGTATCAATATCAAATAGTCTGACGGGGTGACTCGAAGCATCCCAGCCTCTGAAACCCGGCTTCAGTGGCGCGATGTTACGGTGGCTGGGTGACTAGGCAGGATAGGTTAGTTAGGCCACCCATTTTCATCATCCTTCCGCGCTGCATCATGTCAACTGCATCACTCCATCTCCACCTCGCCGACCCCATTCTTCTTCCTCTCGACATAGTAATCACAATATTAACAACAGACAACAATGCGAAACCTCTGGTGCGCCGTACTCTTTGGCGTGGCACGCGCCACCCAGACGGTGTTGCGGCCGGACGCGTCCACGGCCGACGACTATGACCACTTCCAGAGCCCATATTCACCCACCCACTCCGTCCAGATGCGACGACAGAACGAGTCAATTTGCGACGCTGGTGCAGCTCAGTATACGGGCTGGCTGAACATTGGCCCAAAACATCTGTTCTTCTGGTACTTTGAGAGCCAGAACGACCCTGCCAATGATCCTCTGACGCTGTGGATGACCGGAGGCCCCGGCGACTCCAGCATGATCGGCCTGTTCCAGGAGATCGGGCCTTGCTTGATTAACGAACACGGCAACGGAACCGCTCCAAATCCATGGGCTTGGTCGCGCAACTCCTCTTTGCTATTTGTGGATCAGCCCGTGGATGTCGGCTTCTCGTATATTGACGAGGGCCATGACGTTGCAAAGGATTCCCAGGAGGCTGCGGTTGACATGCACCGATTTCTACAGCTCTTCGTCTCCGAGATCTTTCCTCAAAAGCGCTCTGCGCCCATTCATCTTTCGGGGGAGTCGTATGCTGTAAGTCTAGCAGTCCCGGCCTCTTCCTCCCGTGTTCATCATGTACGGACTGACGTCTCCAGGGCCAATACATCCCCTATCTCGGGGCTCATATCGTGAAGCAGAACGAGCTCTATCCCACCGAGCCCCAGGTAAACCTTCAGTCGTGTCTCGTGGGCAATGGTTTCATATCCCCGATGGACACCATGTATGGCTACTGGGACACGCTATGCACCACCAATCCGGGGGTATCGACGCCCATCTTCAATCAGACGCGTTGCGACCATATGGCCGCAAACATGCCCCGCTGCATGCAAGTCGCCGAAACTTGCGCCCAACATCCAGACACCGCTCTTTGCCAGGCGGCCTACTCCGTTTGCTACGAAGGGGTCCTCTCATTGTACGAGGACGAAGTCGGCAAGGGCGGTCGCAACCGATTTGACAGTAAGCTCCCTTCTCTCCCCAAACCATATAGCCCCTAACGCAGGAACCTCATCAACAGTCACCGCGACATGCGAGGTAGACGAATTCTGCTACATTGAAGCAGCCCATATTGAACAGTTTCTCAACTCGCCCACCGTCTGGGACGCTCTATCTCCCCCAAAAGAAGTCACCACATATACAGTTGAATCGAGCAACGTAGTCAAAGCATTTGACACCACCCCCGAGGGCATGACGTCTTCCTCCGAGCATGTTGTTTTTCTCCTCTCCCGCGGGATCCACTTCCTCGCGTACCAGGGAAACCTTGACCTTGCCTGCAACACGGCCGGGACTCTGCGGTGGGCTGATGCACTGCGCTGGAAGGGTCAGCCTGAGTTTGCATCAAAGTCGCTCCGGCCTTGGAATGCACCAGCGATTGGGCGCAGTGAGCCGGTCGGGACGACCAAGGAAGTCAATATCAAGGTAGGAAATGACGGAGGGGCGGTGCGGTTTGCATTTGTGACGGTAGATGCGGCGGGTCATCTTGTAAGTCTTCTTTCTTTCGTTCTCTCTTTCTCTTCATTTCTTTTCCAGTGGGATGGTTGAGAGGAGATTATCAAGTACTGACCCCTAGCAGGTACCACAAGATCGCCCGGACGTGGCGTTTGACATGATGCTGCGATGGATTACGGGAGCTCCGTTTGTTGTGTCATGATGAAAAGAGGCGGCGCTACCAAGCTCCCTATCACTCCTTCTATAGTCTGTTAACCCCTAGGAACCTGAGATCAATTATATTACTTATATTCATAGATATATATTTGAATATATCATGTGCTGTCTAATCAGCCTTCACCCATTGTGTGCATTAAGCTCTCCATTAGGGAAGACTTCCTCTCGTGGTCCAATTCACGATGGGAGTTCGGTGCGAGAGAACGTTCGCGGCGCAGAGAGCTCCCACGGTCCCTTACTCTGGGATCCTGCATCTACCTCCGCTATGTTTTGGCGACCGTTTTTGCAGGCTATAGCCTCGTTCTGCTCGCTTTCATTCTTTTTCCTGAGCAACCACCATGCCACCCCAGCCAATATCGCGCAGCCAGCGACCGGCCCGATCACCGCACCAGCAATCCAAGCCTGGCTGCTTCCCGTCTCGGCCGATGGCTCAGTATGATCGATTATGGTCACTGTGGCGGTAGCGGAGGATCCGGTAAGGGATGGACCCGGAGTCGCCGTTGCTTGTGAGATATGTGAGACGGTTGATATCAGATATCATGGATCGCCAGTCCACTTACCGGTTGTTTCAGCGGGATTCTGGCGGTAGAATGTGGGATTCTTCACCTCCGTCGTGTCCCGACACCACATCAACCGATTCCATGTGGAGGCACCTTTGGATTCATAGACCGACCATGTCATGCACTCCGAACCTTTACGGCTATAATATCATGAGCTCGAGGGTATCAGGGACAAGTTGAAGATTAAAAGAAGCCATTTACCAGATCTCAGAACTATCCTGGGTACGCATCAATGTATTACCATTCTTGCAAGCGATTGGGATGTTCGTTTCCCCTGGACTATTACATCCCACTTTATCTCCAAGAACTGCGTATGTGACGCTATCCTGGCAGCTTTCTGGAGCCCCTAACAATATTCCTGTATTTAGCATGGCTCATGTCGATACATGAAGGCGGAGATCCCCGACTTACACATTCGTCCAGTCGGCTCCCATGAATACCCTATGAAGTTTTCACCCTCGCTCGTTGCTCCCCTCACGCGAGCTACTATCAGGAATAGAACGCATAGTATGGCCTTCATAATGCTGAAAGAGTATAACCCAGGAACAAAAAACAGACGGACAAGTGTATGGTATACTCCTCGAGTCTTACCTGAGGTCTTCTGGGAAGGGGGTAAAAAGAGGGTCAAGCTCTCGCGAGGCTGTGACAATTTCTTCTTTCTTACACGCTGTAAAGCCTCGCGTCGATCGGCGTCTTGATCACGTGGCTGGAACTAATTTATTAGTGTACAAACTAGATAACTTATTGTTGTTTGTAAAGCATTGCAAAGCAGTGATGTACAGTCCCTAAAAGGCCCCGCGTAGGAGTAAGTCCCCCAAAGCAGCGGCAGGGAACCTCCGAATGCGCCTATGTCGGTGCCCTAGAAAGCAACCACTTAGGAGCCTTGAAAGGAACTACACAGAGCCTTCAAAGCAACAACAGGAGAGTTCTAAGAGCACCCGCATAGGACTCCTGAAAGCACTGCAAAGGACAGCACGGAAGCTTCCTCGCCTTCACTCACGTAGGACCCCTGAAAGTCCTCACATGAGATCTCCAAAAGCGTCCATTTCGAACCATCTAAAGCACCTGTGTGGGACTTCTAAAGCAGCTATGCAGCAATATGTGGCTCAAAAGATAGTCATACAATTAGTATCTATTTAAGCAATAGTCCAGTTCTAGAAATAATCACAATCAACACACTCTAAGAGAAACTTTTTAGGGGATTCTTGAAGTTGGTGAATTAAAAACAAAAACAGTGTGTTATTAAGCACCTGAGAGGAGTTAAAATCCACTAGAGAACTCTGCGCAGACTGCAGTGGATTTTGCATGTTCTTTTCATGATATTAGAGGTATCAAGTGGGTTGGCTCACCCAGCTAGCGGAGCCTCCATAAGACCGTCTCGTCAAGCTGCACCCACCCTTCTGGAGGAATATCCAATGTCATATACGAACCGTGCGGGTACCCTTCATGCCAAGCACACTTGCACGCGGATCATTCCCTCTAATGTTCCTATTAGCCGATAGCCTTGGGAACCAAGCAATGCCTCAGCCGGGCACGGGACAAGGCTAAGACGACTCGTGCGCCTCAGCACGCCATGCGAGTCAGTTTACCATGGTTTTTATGATTGTTGACTATCTTGACTACCTACTATCTCCATGGGGGAGAATGTGACAGAGGAGAGGAGCCAGTCGTCTTCTACGGTATGTTAAGATGTTAAAGATGTCACAGTGGGGTTGAACTGTTGAGAGCAACAGAGGACGACTGCCTGAGGAAAACTACGCCAAGTTTATATAGTGATATTTGTTGGTTTTGGAAAGACCGGTGTTAACCTCAATATTACCATTCAAGGGTTTCAGCTCAAGGTATGTGTAAATATATCTTGATACATAAGGTACTATTCTACTACTGCTATACAATCAGTGTAACAATCGTCTATGGTTCAGGATACACGAACACCTGATACAGTTTATGGCATATTCCTATATTTTGTATAAAGAAGCCCACAATCCCCGTAATTGACTATCAGCCTGCTATATATTGAATCATGAAACTCAAAGCTGTTCTGACCGGCAGGTGGAGAAGCCCAATCTAATTCTGTCCAGTCGCAAACACGTTCTAGGCACGTGAGCCCCTTGCTTATCGGCAGCATCAACGGGGGAGTCAAGTTTCAACGCTGAACAATTCCCTTCACACTTGAGATCATTCGACACCTACCATCACGATGGTGCACTGGATTCCTCTCTCCAGGCTGCTCTTCTGGACTATCTGGCCTGCGGCGACATCAGCGAAACAATTGATGGACGACCGTCATGTATCCGAAGATCCCCTAGTAGCAGACCAGGTGCTATCGACACCAACTGCGTATGATTTCCCTATCCTAGGGAGTAATGGCCCGGAATTATTCCCGATGCGCCCGTGTCGGGGAATCCAGCTCGCGGAGGCGACAATCGACAAGTTGCAGGAATATCTATCGACAGGCGCGCTGACCAGCGTCGACCTGCTACATTGCTATCTGGGCCGCATTTTCCAGACCGACAGTTATCTTTCGTTCGTATCAACAAGCCTTCTTCTGCTTGAGAACTTTTGCTGATAATATCAAGAGCCATCATCCAACACAACCCCGATGCCTTCTCCATCGCAGAATCCCTAAACGCTGAGCGCGCCTCAGGCAAAGTTCGTGGTCCCCTGCACGGGATACCGTTCGTAGTCAAAGACAACATCGCCACCAAGGACCGCATGGAGACCACAGCTGGCAGTTGGGCTCTTCTAGGATCGATTGTGCCGCGAGACGCATTCGTCGTACACCAGCTGCGCAAGGCCGGCGCTCTGCTGCTGGGAAAAGCCGCGTTGAGCGAATGGGCCGATATGCGCTCAAATAATTACTCAGAGGGCTTTAGTGCGCGTGGCGGACAATGCCGCAGTGCGTATAATCTCACGGTGAACCCTGGTGGTAGCAGCTCGGGTTCGGGAGTTGCGGTTGGTGCGAACCTCGTTCCGTTTGCTTTGGGGACTGAGACGGACGGTAGTGGTATATAACTCTTCTAGCTCGAACCTTCTGTCCTTCAACCCTAACATTCCGGCAGTCATCAATCCCGCACAGCGGAATGCTATAGTCGGCATTAAACCAACAGTTGGGTTGACGTCACGAAATGGACTGATCCCCGAGTCACTTAACCAGGACACCGTGGGCGTATTCGGCAAGACCGTGCGAGACGCGACATACGTACTGGACGCCATCTTTGGCATTGATCCGCGGGACAATGCAACCCAAGCACAGCGAGGTCAGACACCCCCAGGCGGCTATAGCCAGTTTCTCTCCGATCGGTCTGCGCTCAAAGGCGCCGTGTTCGGCCTCCCATGGGAATCGTTCTGGCGCCTGGCGAACCCTACCCAACTCTCGCAGCTTCTCGAGCTTATCGAAATGATCCAAAAGGCGGGAGCGACCATCATCAATGGGACCGAGCTACCTCACCATCGCACCATCGTGTCGCCAGATGGATGGAATTGGGATTATGGCAGCCAGAGAGGGTACCCCAACGAGTCCGAATACAGCTATGTCAAGGTGGATTTTTACAACAACCTCAAGACATATTTAACCGAGTTAGACAATACAAATATCCGTTCGCTGGAGGACCTGGTTGAATACAATAAGGCCAATGTCGGGTCTGAGGGAGGGCAGCCTGGCATTCACCCAGCCTTCGGTTCAGGTCAGGATGGATTAGAAGCATCGCTAGCTACCAAAGGTATTCAGAATGATACATACTGGCAGGCACTGAAATTCTGCCAGCGGACAACGAGAGAAGAGGGCATCGACGCGGCGCTGCGCTCCGGAAAGCGAACACTCGACGGGCTGTTGGTGCCACCAGATGTTGCGCAGAGCATCCAAATCGCAGCACAAGCCGGCTACCCTGTGATTACGATCCCGGCTGGCACCGATCCAGGGTCCGGGATGCCGTATGGGTTGGCGATCATGCAGACTGCTTTTGCAGAAGAGACATTGATCAAGTATGCCAGTGCGATTGAGGATCTGCAGAGAGAGACGAATACGCCGTGGAAACGCAGCCTTCCCAAGTGGCGGGGTTACCTTGTTCGGAATATCCCCGTCATCAATTGAGTTTGATCTCAGGGGAATGGTGATGAATACTTCTAATTGCCTTTTCGGAGAAGTATTAATTCCTTGTGCACATTGGGGCCCATGAGCGGCTGAGCTTTGTTATGGGAATACATCTGTATATTTAAGCTTTGCGAGGTGGACGGAAGATTCCGTTTCATTTGTGGTTTTGTTGGAATAGTGCAATTGATTCTATGTAGGTGATTGTGGATTATAGATTGTCTATCAATTCCGTCAGTGGGTCCCTGGTCGCACAGCAAAGCTGACCATTGTCGGAGGGGCTTCCTCGCTGGTTGCTGGCCCGTTGAAGCCTTCGACATGCACCGAGCGCATCTGTCATGTGTCAGCGCCAGTCCATCATCATGCACGCGTGAAACAAACCTCGAATCTCATAATTATCAGCGCAACGACTTTTTTCACTTCCATCCAGGCCGCCCAGCCTTCTGGGCAGGTCCGGATGCCTTGGGAGAATGGAAACAAGTTGTCCTCCATGCGCCTCCGTTGCCATTGGTCGATCGCAAGCCATCGGTCCGGTTGAAATGCCTGACTGTTGGGTCCGAAGATTTCGGGATTCCGCCGCATTGTATCAGAGTGTGAGATAATCACTGTATCCTCTGGCACATGTAGGCCTGCGATCGTAATGCCTCTCTCTGGAGCAATCGTCTTCACGGAGTGGCCCGGGGAGAAAAGTCTGATCGCTTCCTTCATGACAGCATCGAGGTATCGCAGACGATTCAAATCTGCCCATTGGGGGGTTTCTGAGATGATTCTTGCCTGGACTGCAGTGTCGAGCTCGTGCCGAAGTTTGCATAGTATCGAAGGGTGGCACAATAGGGCGAGGAACACGGAAACAAAAGCCGCATTAATGCAGTCAATGCTCGCTACCATGGCCTGAAGTCTCCGATATTCTCCCATACTGCGGGCTCTTTGGCCAGGGGAATTCTTCGCAGGCGAGCGTGCGTTGGACCCCATCTCCGGCATACGCATTGGCCTTGGATCAGATAGCAACCCCCCGCGAGTCATCTTCAACCGCGCACCGGGACTCCCTAGGACGAGGTACTCGATTGTCGGAAATGCGAACCAACCCTTTAGGGTGTGATACCAGCGGCCCGAGTGGACTTCATTGCGAAGATGCGCGGTCCGTTCAATAAGATCGTCTAGAATCAGACGGCCAACAAAATGCGTCACAAAGAAACGAAACGACTCCGTCAGCTCGACAACACGCTGTCGTTGGAGGTTCTCTACAAGGTCGGTTGCCAAGTGGTCAATCACACCCTCGTATTGCGCCGCGCTCGCGATGGTCTGCTGAGCGGTCTCATTTTCCTAGACGGTATTAATTTCGTGCCATGACTTTGGCTGGAATCCACACCATGACATACCTCTTCGTGCAGTTGGCGCCCATGAATGTACGAGATCGATTCTGGATCCGCCAAGCTCACACAATTTGGGCCCAGACGCACAAGGGGACCATACTTCCAGTGATAGGTAGTCAACAGACGGCCAAAGTTGGAGGCGTTCTGGGCACGTTTATGCCAGAAGTCGGACCATCCGGCCAGTCGCGGGCCTGGAATCGACATCAGGCGGATATAGTTGCCCACCAGGCACCACGACACCGACAGTAGCAAGAGCAGAATGGCTATTGCGGGCGCCACCATTCCAGACTAGGCTACGGGCCCAACTCATCGTCCGAGCGACAATAGCGATGGATTTTCCAGGTTGGTGGAATTTGTTGCATCGATAGACTGGGTCGAAATTGTAGTAGGACCACCCTCCTGACAGGTTTGACCCGCTGCGCCATTATTGACCTCGTTACCCAAGGCGGGGAGTGCCTCGTGGTAACTCAAGGTCAGCCTCCTTTTCCTGCAGCCGCATTATCCCGAAGCGAGAAAAAAAACCGGGCGATCCAATAGGCGATCCACGACGATTCAATGCACCCGTTCGGACACTATTGTCATTGGTAAGACCATCCGAGCTGCAGTGGGGTCACCAGACGATAACTATTCTGTGTCATGCTGGAGATAGTGAACCTGTCGCTCATAGGCTACCAAGTTCCGTATATAGCCACCTCCACTTGGATGAAGGATGGGATACCCCATGTTTGAAAGGGGCTGTCGTGTTCGGCCCGATAGGCGTACAAGCTTCCTGTCCACACCTTGTTGCTGATTGAAGGAAGAGAACAAAATGTGGAGAAGTGAAGCCAAGAGAGAAACGAGATTGGAGGGAACGAAACGTGACCTCGGCATGGGCTCCACTCACCGCCTTCGGGGGGGTTCCAGGCTGGTCTGCCTCAGGCTTCCATGTTGTGGAGATCGCAGAGAAGGAACCCAGACGGCGAGACCACCAACCTCTACAACTTTTATTCTTCTGGATCTTAGAGACTTACAACACTGGGAGTCTGCAGGGTATATCTTCCTTTGCACGTAAGATAGGTCCGCTATCCACTCCGCCCACCACTAGATCATCCCCACCTGCGATATGGTCCTTGCACTTCCCCGCTACGACGACTAGGTTTATGAATCCTCCAGCCAATGGGTTACGATCGGCCCCGCGGAGCCCTGCAGCCTCGCTCCGATGATCGATTGAACTTGAGACGCTCGGTGGTGGCGTGTAATAGATGTCGCAATCGGAAAACCCGATGTGCGGGGAATCCGCCGGCGCCGTGTGCCGCCTGTGAGGATGTCGGCCATGCCTGTGTCTATTCCGAGGCCGAAAAGCGCGTGTCGATATCGGAGAGGTAAACAGAAAATGGTGCAGTGGCTTTCATCGACAGTGGACTGATCAGCCGTCAGTTATTACCGTCAACTTCAAACTCAGGCGCAAGCAAACCGCCCAGGTGTGTATACCTTCGATCCTTTCAGCGGGTCTTTCCATTGATTGAACGTGGTCGTTTTATAGGAAGCTTGATAGATGACCGTCATCTGTCGCCCTCGCTTGCAACTCCTGGATCCTCCCAGGCGACTTCAGGTCTCTCTAATGCGGAAATCCCAGCGGAGCGGGATGACTGGTGGTACAAGGGTTCTGACGATCTGTTCCTCAACCATTCGGGAGAGCACCGTATGGCTTCTCTCTTCCTGACGTTCGATAATCGATAGCTGACGTAGATAAGAATATGTGGGTGCGTCGTCGGCCACGCACATGGCCAAACGTCTTCACCCAACATCCAATAATTTTGCGTGGGATGTGCGACCCTTGTACGATGATCCGTCATCTTTGCGACGGTCGGTCAGTCGTGCTCTACCCCAGATGCCACCATTCGAGTTTGCCAAGAGATTATTCTGGGTGCAATACACCTACATTGGAACCATCTTTTCTCTCATCCATCCCGACGACTTTGAAAGACGGCTGGCGATCGTCTACAACCGACCTCCGGATGTCTCCAATCGGGAGTCGTGTCTGGTCTACTGCCAGGTGCTACTCGTCATCGCCTTTGGACTGATGTATTCGGTGAACCAGTGGTCAGGAGATGATGGTCCACCTGGGTTCAGATACTTCAAACACGCCTTGCGATTCTTGCCGGATATCCACGAGGACGGCTCCATCTTTTTCGTCGAAGTGCTCTGCTACGTGGCGTATTACATGCAGAACCTCAACCGGCGGGATGCGGCATTTCTATACATCGGACTGGCCCTTCGGATGGCCATCTCACTTGGCCTTCACCAGGAGGTGTCCGACCCAGCCATTGGGGAAGAAGATCGGAACCGTCGCCGCCGTGCCTGGTGGTCGGTGTATAGCTTGGATCGGCTGCTTTCGGTGAAATCTGGCAACCCTATTACCATCCAGGATGAAGACATTGGCACCACCTGGCCGATTTCGATGAATGGATCAACCACGGCACCATGGCCGTCCGTCGTGCTCACTCACTACACTCAACTGTCTCGCATTCTGGGCCGTGTGGGTGAGGAAATCTACCGGAAGAAGCCCCGATCTGGCTCCAACCTCCTCATGTCGGTGCAGAGCATCACGAACGATTTATCCAAGTGGCTACGGCAGATCCCAGACCGGCTTCGGATCGACTTTTCGACCCTCGGCACCCACGTGAACCGGGAATCGGTATCCATATTCTTACACTTTTACTCTTGTGTGAACATGACGGCCCGGCCCCTGGTCTTCTACGTGATTCAACGCCGCTTGGACGGGGATGCTCAAGGCTCGGCCAGCGATGACTGGCGAGATGGGCTGTCGCAGAACACGGTGGCCGTCATTGACAGCTGTATCACTGCGGCTCGCGCCACGACCTTGATCATGGACGCCGCAGCCAAGCACAACTTACTTGGTATGCACTTTCTACCCGTCAGAGGGGGCCGCTGACTGATTCATACTGCCTCAGCTACATACGGGTATCTCGATGGAGAATACGTCTTCTCGGCCGCTCTACTGCTCGTCATGGTTAATGGCGCCTTCCCCCCAGATGACACCAATACACGGACCATGGAGATGGCATTGGCTCTCCTTCGTGGGATGGCGGACCGGGGGAACGTGTACCTCGCGTCGCGCCATGCACTTCTCTTGGAGCTACAGGCGGCCATCAGCCCGAAGCGCATGGATGTCGCTGCAGAATCACCGGTTACCACCAGTAGTGGTGCTCACCATACGAGCCCGACAATGAACATGCTAGATGAACGACCCCCTGCAGTATCAACCGAGTGGCCTCTACCGCAGGATTTGTCGTCGGTGCGAGACATCTCCTTCAACTTTGACGTCACCGAGTCGGATCCCGGGCTTTGGGAAGAGGTATTGGATCAGATTGATATCGACATGGATACTGACTGGATTGAGAGCACGCTACGGAGGTGACTGGGTTTACGAGGCTACGTCGTATGATTTTTGCGTATGGAGTATTGGGTTACTTACGAAGCTCAAGGGTGTCATGATGTCTTTGGTAGCCTGCGGCAGACTTGAAATCACTACCGTTGTTAGAGGAATATTATGTCTAGTTCTAATAAACAAAACGAGATTAATCCCCATATACCTGGAGGAGCCTACAACACTAGATCACAACTAGTAAATTATCAGACTCACATTTACATATATCTGTGCTGTTCACGTTACCAGTAGTCGTACCTTGGGTAACCTCCCAACTAAGACACATTGATTGGGACCAGTGTCTGGATAGGGTAATACCATATCCCGTACCACCTATCTCCGATCCTATACATCCTGTATACCACACCACTCGTTTCATTCCCATCATCTAAAGAAACCCCCGGATCCCCTGATGCCGGCGCTGTCGGGCCGCCCGCTCCGATCGAGGGGTCATCGGCCCGACACGTGACCATGCGGGGATGGTCGACCAGAAAGATAAGGCAGAAAGTGGATCGTTATCGGGACTGCGGGGAGCTTTTTGAACTATTTGAACTGCGCCGAACCCTCCGCTCTTCAGTGATTTCCCCATAGACTCCATTCCTTATACCCCCTCCCACCCAACTCCCTTTCTTTTCTCGCCTCTCCACCTCTCACATTCAAGAAGATGGACGAGTCAAGGAAAATCACCATCTCCATCGACCGTGGTGGCACCTTTACAGACGTGCACGCCATCGTACCGGGCCGCCCTGACATCATCCTAAAGCTACTATCCGTCGACCCCGGTCACTACCAAGATGCACCGACAGAAGGCATCCGACAGATTCTCGAGCTGGTAACGGGAAAGCCGCATCCCCGGGGTCAGCCGCTGGAGCTGGGTCCGATCGGCAGTCTGCGGATGGGCACAACCGTGGCGACGAACGCGCTGCTGGAGCGCAAGGGCGCGCGCTCGGTCTTATTCACAACGCGGGGATTCCGGGATCTGCTGAAGATCGGGGACCAGTCTCGACCGAATATTTTCGATTTAAGCATGGCTCGGCCAGGGGTGTTACCGGAGGGCGTGGTGGAAATTAACGAGCGTGTCGTGCCGTGTCATCCGTCGGCGGATAAGGATTGTTTTGCCGAGGCGCGGGTGGTGGAGGGTGTGACTGGGGAGAAGTTCAAGGTCGTTCAGGAGTTGAATATGGAAGAGGTGGAGAGTGAGCTGCGCCGGTTAAAAGAGGAGGGATACCAGTCTCTGTCTGTTGCGCTGGTGCACTCCTTCGCCTACCCGGATCATGAGCGCAAAATCGGTGATCTTGCGCGGAAGATGGGCTTTTCTGTCACATTATCTTCGCAGCTGCAGCCCATGATCAAGATCGTTCCCCGAGGCATGTCCGCTGCGGCGGATGCCTATCTTACTCCGGTGATCAAGACTTACATTGATTCGATCTCGTCGAGCTTCGAAGGCGGGCTGGAACGCCAGCATGAGTGTCGATTCGAGTTCATGCAGTCCGATGGTGGATTAGTAGACTTCCGCAAATTTAGCGGCCTGAAGGCTATTCTATCCGGTCCTGCCGCCGGTGTGGTCGGTTTTGCGGCCACCAGCTATGACCCGGAGGAGAAGACACCCGTCATTGGTTTCGACATGGGCGGCACGTCGACAGATGTGTCGCGATTTGACGGCCATCACGAGCATGTTTTTGGATCCAAGGTGGCCGGTGTTCTCATCCAGTCGCCTCAACTGGACATCAACACCGTGGCTGCTGGCGGTGGCTCGATCCTGTCGTGGCGCAACGGACTTTTCTACGTCGGACCTGAGTCCGCTTCTGCCCATCCGGGCCCTGCATGCTACCGCAAGGGTGGCCCACTGACCGTGACAGACGCAAATCTGTTCTTGGGCCGTCTGATGCCGGAATATTTCCCTCACATCTTTGGCCCCAACGAAGATCAGCCGCTGGACATCGAGGTCACCACCAAGCTGTTCAACGACCTGACGGACAAGGTCAACACCGAGAGAAAGGAAAAGGGACAGCCTACGTACACGGCGGAGGAGGTGGCCCTGGGTTTCCTCAAGGTCGCAGATGAGTCGATGGCTCGTCCTATCCGCGGGTTGACTGAAGCTCGTGGGTTCGAAACTGCATCGCATCATCTTGCTTGCTTCGGTGGAGCAGGTGGCCAGCATGCGTGCTCGGTCGCTGCATCGCTTGGAATCTCTCGCACGATCATTCATCAGTTCTCTTCGGTTCTTTCTGCCTACGGCCTGGCGCTGGCTGAGGTCGTCAAGGAGTCCCAGGAGCCGGTCTCCAAAGATTACCTGTCCTCCAAGTCTAATCTGGATGGCCGGTTTGTGGAGATGATGAAGGCGGCGACGGAAGAGATGGAGGTCCAGGGATTCCGCGGCGACCAGGTCCACCATGAGCTATATCTTAATATGCGCTACGAGGGCTCTGACACTAGCTTCATGATTTTAAAGCCTGAAGATGAGTCCGGGTTCCTCGAGCAATTCCGTGCCCGTCATCGTCGCGAATTCAACTTCAACTCCGACCGTCCGGTGTTGGTGGACGACATCCGTGTACGGACGATTGCCTCGTCCAAGGTACGCACGGAGAAGAGCCCACTGGTGCAGCTGAAGGAAGCAACGCTGCAGGATATCTCAGGACCCCCTCACAACACGACCAAGGCCTACTTTGACGGATATCCGGACCGGATTGACACCGCGGTCTATCTCCTGGACAAGCTGGACCGCAGCACCCGGGTGCATGGCCCCGCCATCATTATCGACAAGACGCAGACGATCGTGGTGGCCCCTAACGCGGTCGCCAACATCTTGGAGACGTGCATTGTCATTGACCTGCAAGAATCCAAGAACCCCGTCGCGAAGAATGTGTCCACCGAGATCGATCCTATTCGGCTCACCATTTTCGGCCATCGATTCATGTCGATTGCGGAACAGATGGGCCGTACCCTGCAGAAGACGTCCGTGTCGACCAACATCAAGGAGCGCCTGGACTTTTCGTGCGCGCTATTCTCTCCAGACGGCGGACTTGTCGCCAATGCGCCCCACGTCCCTGTCCATCTGGGATCCATGCAGTTTGCTGTGCGCTACCAACATCAGAAATGGCTGGGCAACCTCAAGGATGGCGACGTGCTGGTGGCGAACCATCCGACCTGTGGCGGGACGCATTTGCCCGATATCACGGTACGTTCAATTCCTCTGTCATCCCCATTCTATCATACTAATATGAGACGGTAGGTCATTACACCCGTTTTCGACCGACCGGGTGGCAGCGAGATAATGTTCTACGTGGCCTCGCGTGGCCACCATGCCGATATCGGCGGTATCCTCCCCGGGTCTATGCCGCCCAAGTCAACGGAGCTGTGGCAGGAAGGCGCCGCGATCGAGGGTGACAAGATCGTCAGCAATGGCGTCTTCGACGAGGATCGTGTGATCGAGCTGCTGGTGCGCCAGCCCGCCGAACACCCCGGGTGCTCGGGGGCGCGCTGCATCAGCGACAACCTGTCAGATCTGAAGGCGCAGATTGCAGCCAACACGCGGGGCATCGGTCTCATCCAAACGCTGTTCGCGGAGTACGGCACGGAGACGGTGCAGAGATACATGTACGCCATCCAGTCGACAGCAGAGACGGCGGTCCGCAATCTCTTGAAGGAATTACACCAGAAGTTCGGTGGTCAACCACTCGAAGCCGTCGACTACATGGACGACGGCACCCCGATCAAGCTAAAAGTCACCATCAACGACACGGACGGGTCGGCGGTGTTTGACTTTGCGGGGACAGGGCCCGAGGTGTACGGGGGTTGGAACGCGCCGATCGCGATCACACACTCCGCCATCATCTACTGCCTGCGCTGCATGATCAACGCGGATATCCCGCTGAACCAGGGGTGTCTAGCCCCGATCGACATCCAGGTCCCGTCGCCCAGCCTGCTGTCCCCGACGAAGACGGCAGCCGTCGTCGGCGGCAACGTGGTCACGTCGCAACGCATCACCGACGTGGTGCTCAAAGCGTTCCGCGCCTGCGCAGCGTCACAAGGATGCTGCAACAACCTCACCTTCGGGACGAACTCGCGGACAGACCCCGACACAGGGGCCACGATTCCCGGATTCGGCTACTACGAGACGATCGCCGGCGGCAGCGGCGCAGGACCGACCTGGACAGGCGAGTCCGGCATCCACGTACACATGACGAACACACGGATCACCGACCCCGAGATCCTGGAGAAGCGATACCCCACGCTGCTGCGGCAGTTCACGCTACGGACGGGGTCCGGCGGACGCGGCAAGCACCAGGGCGGCGATGGCGTGGTGCGCGAGATTGAGTTCCTTTCTCCGATGGAGTGCTCGATCCTGTCGGAGCGGCGGGTGCACCGGCCTTATGGGCTGGAGGGGGGCGAGGACGCGCAGACGGGGCTGAACCTGTGGTCGACGCGGGATGCCGAGACGGGGGAGGAGCGGACGGTTAATATTGGAGGGAAGAATACGGTGTCTGTGAAGACGCATGATCGGATCGTGATTATGACGGCTGGCGGGGGCGGATGGGGAAGTCGTGAGGAATAGATTATTGATGTTTTTTATATACATAACTGTTGCAATATAAGATAATGCATCAAATGGTACTCGCAGAGCTCCGAAGTGTCTAGACATCTTGTCCAGCCAAATGGTATTCTTTGCGTCAATAAATATATATGATCAAGTCGATAGACTCAGACACTTCCATTCTATTTCTATTTCCGACAACACATATTACCAGCTCTTCCATCCCAAATGTCAATTGCAACACGGCGCTCACTCTTCCCAATCCAGTTCTGACAGTGCAAGAGGAACTGGACACAGTCATAGTGAGGCGATAGAGAGGATGACAGGCCACGGATGACTCACTCGTGGGTCTTTACCCTTTAGGCTGACCGGGTAAAACTGGATCAACTGGAGGAGATGGTGTGACTTGCGTGGGTGGTGTGATTGATATGTTCTATTTTATTTTACTGTATTGATTCTTATTCTGTTTATCTCGATGAATTGTTTTATTCGGCTAGAGAGTTGGATCGTTGTAGTATACGCGTAGCGGCGTAGGAATAGGATCATAGAGAAGGATATCGGTCTGCTGTTTTCTGCCATTTCAATGATATGAGTTCAATATTTCGATATTTCGATAATAACAGTAAAAAATCCATTGATCTTTGTCTATAAGTATATCAATAATATATCCATGTATGGATAGATGGTTCAAAACACTCCGATACCTCGAGATCCAGTTATGCACGATGCGCGAGTTATGCGGAGTCGACATGGTGCTGCTGTGCAGCTTCTGGATCATTGAAGTGTGCAACAGGATACAAGAGATCAATAAATCTCTTGAACCTTTTATCATAATTAAAGAGAAATTATAATTAGATAAAACCATCCTATCGTAAACACCATGTGGAGTAAGTAAATGAATAATACACAAAGAATTGGGATGACATAAGCGGCATCACATGTCGGATCATGCTTCTTCTTGTAATTTTTTTTTTTTAATTCAATTCTTTCATCTCGACTTTTTTTCTTTCACTTCTTTATCTTCGTCTCTGTTTTATTCTCTTCTTGACTCTCTTCCTCTGGTTCTCCACGATTTTCTCGTTTCTTCGATGCGATCATGTCCCTCCTTCCCCACTGCTGCCTGAGCCCCTCCTGACCTCTCCAGTCGGGGTATTTGTTGACCTCTCAGCTCCGAGGTCTCTCTAACTCACCCTCTCCATCCCATATAAACCGTCCGTACGACAGACCTCGCGCTCCACTGGGCTTTCTTTCTAAACCTGTTAAACCAACCCTCGCGCCTCGTTGGGATACAGCACAAACGCCGGTCGCAACCGGACTTTTTCTCCACCGGATCCCTCGTTTCTGTCGGCCATGGGGAAATCCCCCGCAGCCATCATCGTTGCCCGGTATATCTCTCTACTTCTCCTTCCCCCCTTTCTTTCCTTTCTTTCCCTTCTTTTCGCTCAACTGACCTCAAAATTCTCCCAGACATGGTGCCCGCTTAGATGCCGCTGACAAGGATTGGCACCTGACCTCCCCCACGCCTTATGACCCCCCCCTCTCCTATGGCGGTTGGATGCAGTCCCGGGCGCTTGGGGCCCGCATCGTGAACCTTGTCCATTCCATGGAATCCGCCCCCCAGCCACCACGTGCCCGTCCCCTCAACCGCAAGTTCCGCATCGTGATCCACTCCTCTCCCTATCTGCGATGCTTACAAACCGCCATCGCCCTGAGCTCGGGAATCTGCCAAAACTCTCCTGCCGGGGATTCCCCCCAGCGCCCGTCGCCGGCCCCGCAGTCCGGTCCCGTCAACGGGTGCCTCTCGCCCACCCGCACGGACAGTGGCTCTCGCTGTGTCTTGCGCGTCGACGCCTGTCTGGGGGAGTGGCTGTGTCCCGATTACTTCGACCACATCGTGCCCCCTCCCTCGTCCGAGCGCATGGTCACCGCCGCCAAGGCCGAGCTCCTGCGCCGCGAACACCAGTTCGTCCCGGACGCCGACATCAACGCCCGACCCACCACCGGCCACTTTCCCGGTGGTTGGGTCGCCCGCGTCAGTCCCACGACCTCCGCGCCCCCCGCGGACAGCAGATTCGCTCAAGGCGAGCCCGCGACCACCCTCGCGCCGTCACAACCCCCCCGACAGCGTGCGGAGAGCGTGGGAACGTCGTTGTCGTCGGAGGAATCCCCTCGCCATCGACGGTGGCTCACGATCAACACCGACCTCGCCCCCATCCCCGACAGCGCCTACGTGCCACCGACCCCCAGCTATGCCATCTCCCCCTCGGGGCCCATTCCGCCCGGATACGTCACTCATGCCCGCGACGCCTGTGTCCAGGTGGACTACCCGTGGGATAGCATGCGCAACCCCCAGAATTGGGGCGACGGCGGTGAATTTGGCGAGGACTGGAGCGCGATGCACTCGCGGTTCCGGGGGTCGCTGGAACACTTGAATGCCTGGTATCGCGATCACGAACGGTCCACCCCCCGCGGCCCGCGTCGGCGCCGCACGCAACTGTCCGGCGACGCGGAGAACGGCACGGTCGAGGAGGAGGTGGAGACCGTCGTCGTCCTCGTGACCCATGGCGCCGGATGCAACGCGCTGGTGGGCGCGCTGTCGGGTCAGCCGGCCCTGGTGGATATCGGAACGGCGTCTCTGACCATGGCAGTGCGCGAGGATCGCGACAGAGCCAGCGGGGTGGGCGACGCTCGGAGCCCGTGGGGACTGGACGACTATAACCTGGAGCTGGTCGCCTCCACCGACCACCTCCGGTCGGCGCCCCCCTCCGCCTCGGTCCTGTCCTCGCCAACCAACGTCGTCGCGCCGTCCGGTCGCTTCCGATCGGCGTCGCGGACCTCCCCACCGCCCAAGCCGTTTGTCGTGGGGCCCACGGCGACGTCGGGTTTGGGATCGACCTCGCGCCCGTGGTCTCTAGACCGACCGTCCACGGCGCCCCGCGGGGGGTCGTCCGGTCTGTGGGGCTCCATGGCAGCGACCGCCCGGGAAGAGGATGACCTGTTTCCGAATTTTGGTGGCGCGTTTTCCGGCTCGTCACTCACCCTCGGTGGACCCCGGGTGATCGCGCCGGTGGCCGAGGAGGAGTCGGTCAAACCCAAACAGTTGCCGCAGCGGACGCTGTCCCAGCGGGGTCTGTGGGGTGGTACGCCGCTGAATAAGGACATAGCCGTCAAGCGACGCTGGACCGTGACCGAGCGACGAGCGTGACGCCGATCCTACTCTAGTTTTCTTGCGTATGCCTGGATCATTCGTCCTTGCCTTGCTTTTCTCCCTTACTTCTCTCCCTTCCTTTCTCGTTTTGGCGACGACGTTCTGATTAGCGATATTTACGATAATTACGATGAATTCCCTATTGTCCTCTTGGAAACACGGCCGGTGGATTTTCAATTCGAACTGGTCGCAAATGCTGGCGTCGGAGAATTTACTCGACGGTCACTGTACACCCAATCCTTGTAGTCATGTCTTTCATAATGGTGGCCGACTGGCTCAGATCAGCCCACCCATGGGCTCAGCGGTCTTTATTCCCTGTCGTTGGTTGCCCCCTGGGAGTGGCCGGTGGGGACGCTTTGACCCGCCGATCCATGAGGTCATTACCCGAGGGCCAGCCCCCCAAGTGGGGAAGATGACGGTTTCCCAGGCACCAGGGATAATAACTCCCCTGCGCCGCCCGAGTTTCTGCGTCCTCCCTTGACCCCATCACGATGGACTCCCACGAGGCCGCAGTATCTGCGGTCGCCGCCCAGGTCGAGAGATTTCACCACCGCCAGCAGCCGTTCCGGATCTACCATGGCTCGACTAACAGCACGCGCCAGTCGCAGCATAGCGCGGCCAACACCATCAGCACCGCCCACCTCACCCGGGTCCTCGAGGTGAACCGCGAGGCCAAAACCGCCGTGGTCGAGCCCAATGTCCCGATGGACGCGCTCGTGCACGCGACCCTGGCACACGGCCTGGTGCCGCTCGTCGTGATGGAATTCCCGGGCATCACCGCCGGCGGTGGTTTCTCCGGCACCTCGGGCGAAAGCAGTTCCTTCCGACACGGCTTCTTCGACGCCACCGTCAATTGGATCGAGATCGTCCTGCCGAACGGCGAGGTGCGGCGTGCGTCGCCCACCACCGATGCAGACCTCTTCTGGGGCGCTGCCTCCTCCTTCGGCACGCTGGGCGTCGTCACGCTCGTGGAGGTGCAATGCCGCGAGGCTAAACCCTACGTCGAGCTCCGGTACCTCGCCGCACCGAGCATGGACGCCGCCATGGACCTGTTCCGCGCGGAGACGGCCGACCCCTCGACCGAGTACCTCGACGGGATCGTGTTCGCGCGCGATCACGTCGTCGTCTGCGCCGGACGGCTCGTTGATACGGCGCCCGGTGACACCATCCAACGGTTCACGCGCCCGCACGACCCCTGGTTCTATCTCCAGGCCCAGCGGCGCGCACCTGTCCGGAAGCCAACAGACTCCACTCCCACCCCCGTGGACTACATTCCCCTCGAAGACTACCTCTTCCGATACGACCGCGGCGCATTCTGGACCGGTCGGTACGCCTACTCGTACTTCATCACGCCGTTCAACCGCATCACGCGCTACATCCTCGACTACTTCATGCACACGCGCGTGATGTACCACGCGCTACACAAGAGCGGCCTCTCCGACCAATTCATCATCCAAGACGTAGCGGTACCCTACCACGCGACCGACGAATTCGTCGCCTGGCTCGACAACAAAGAGACCTTCGGCGCTTATCCCATCTGGCTGTGCCCGCTAAACCACACGCGCGGCGTCATGGCCCCATCCTCCCACGCCCCGCAATCCCAATCCCAAGCCGCCGACCCCGCCAACTCCGACAGCAAGTACCTCATGAACTTCGGACTCTGGGCGCCCTCACGCCACGCACGCAACACGCCCGGCTTCGTCGCCCAAAACCGCCACCTCGAAGAGAAAGTGCGCTCCCTCGGCGGCAAGAAGTGGCTATACGCGCACGCATACTACACCGAATCCGAGTTCTGGTCCATCTACGACAAGCCCGGATACGACGCGCTGCGGACAAAGTACCACGCGGCTTATCTGCCAGACCTGTACCAGAAGGTGCGGGTTGATCTGCGCGACGACGGGCACGGCGGGCTGCGGATTGCCGGGGGAGGGAAGCACCGGACGGGTGTGCTGGGGTGGGTGAAGAATGTGCTGTGGGGGGTGTGGCCTGTTAGTGGGCTTTATGGTGTTTATCGGGCTTGGAGGGGAGGGGAGTATTTGCTGAAGAGGGACTGATTCACAGCTGTGGTAGATGGCATTGGGGTGGGCCCAGAGTTCTATGATTGATATTTGGACGAGTTATATATCTGAATGGATCTATGTTGGATGATGTTATGGAACTGCGTTGATATATATAGCTAGATATGTGGAACGGATTCTAAAACAGTCTTTTCTTTTCCAAGTGCAGCCAGCGTAACACTTCGAGGTCATCACATTGACGTGGAGTCTCGTCATAACCCCAAATCCATATCGTGGTATCGAATGCTCCGCTGACTAGCCTAGATGTGAAGAGGTGCTGAGCTCATCAACGCAGGCCAATACATGTTGACCACGTAGAGGACTAACATAGAGAGAAGATATTCCAACTACCATACAATTCCGTATGTCTACCAGCAAACAAGCATCTGGTCCTAGAAATCACTAGTTATAAGAGATGACACTTTGGCTTATAAGCAATCATATATTCAATGCGACAGCATAATCATAAATCATCTATATCTTTATCTATACCACACACCCATATCCAAATGCATATCCAATTCAACATCACAACGACGCGGCCATCGACTTCACTTCTGGCTACCATCCTCGATGACAATGCGCCCCTCCAACCGGGGCGCAATACCAATGGTCCAATTCGGGACGAACCCCCGCGTATCGACGTCGTCCAGGGTAGCAGGCTTCAAGCCCGCACGGTCCATCCACTTGCGGACGACACGGCGGGCGAGGCGCAGCCGTCGCTGCTCGTCGTCGGTGGACTGCGCGGGGAGGGTGACGTAGTTGGTGGAAGAGGTGGTGGAGGAGGTGAGGAGTTCGGGGTCGGTGTCGGAATCGGAGTCCATATCTTCGTCCTCTTCTTTCGGTGCTTGGGCGTCCTTGTCTTGCGTTTCTGGGTAGGTGGGAATTTCGTACCGACTGTACTGGTAGTATTGGTTGGTCCGCTGGAGGGTGGGTCGGGGAGGGACCTTCTCGGGGGCAGAAGAGACTGGTCCCGCTGCAGGAACCAGCCAGCCGTCGCTGTGGAGGCTCTTGTGCACGTCTGTCCAGTGGCGATTGAGACTGTTGCTCCAGCGCTGCCAGCGGCCCATGACACGCAGACTCAAAAAGTACTGACGCAGGAGGGTGCTGACCAGCACGCCGCTCTCCTCGTCGACGACTTCCTCCACTTGGCCGCCCTCGGATTTCACGAGCAGAGACATGAACCCGTCCTTTCCACGCGCCATGTATCCCCGGGTTGCGAGGAGGTAGTCACGGTCGAAGTCGATGGGCTGACCGCCCAGTTTGGCCCAGTTGATGCGCGAGCCGGCCGGTGCGGAGGGGTTGTAGCTGAACGAGATGTTGGAAACCTGTGGGAATCGACCTTCTAGTGCCGGCAGCAGGCTGACGCCATTCTCCAACGCGTCCATGATCGCCTTGCCGGAGGCGCGGATCAGAACCACCGGGTCCTCAAATGGGAAGCAGTTGAGAAGGTCCCTGAGGCGCAGGACCCCGGGTGGGTATATCTGGTCACCGCGGATGGTGCCGCCGGCCATCATGGCACAGTCTGCGCCGTAGTAGAAGCGCATCAAGTCACAGACAAAATTCCCCAGGTTCGATTCCCGTTGCCGCACGGTCGAGAAGCGTCCATCCAGCGGGCGCGCGGTGTATCCGACGGGTTTTTCCAGCTTCGCCTTCAGGCTCGAGGTCAGTTTAGCAACCAGTGCCACCGCCGCCGGGTCCTCCGGAATCGCACGGATCATGTCCCGGCGAAGGATACTGAAGTCCCATCCGGGGCCATCCTGTTTGCGCCACGCCTCGATGTAGCTCAGTTGTTTGAAGTCGGTCCCGGAGCGCAAGACGTGCACGCCGTTAAGGAATGCATGCCCGTAGAAATGGTCGTGGCCGCCCAGGATAATGTCGATCATGCCGTACGGGATCTTTTCGGCCAATTTGTAGTCGTTGGGTTCTCGTTGATGGGTGACCGCCACGATAATCTCTGCACCTTGTTCGCGAAGCTGCGGGACGAGTTCCATGGCAGTCTGCGAGGCGGATTTGTAGATGAGGTTAGGAGGAAGCGCGTTGATCGTTGCGAGCCTGGGAGCAATTAGTATCTCATCTGCTAACCGTGTCAATGCGCTTTACCATTCTCTTTCGCCGAGACCTATGACGCCAATCTTGATCCCATTCGACGAGGTCAACATACACGTCTTCTCACAATTGGCAATCGGGACACCCTCGCCCAGCGCGGGATCAAGAACATTCGCAAGGAGCCAGGGAAATTTGCATTGGCTGCGGAGATGGCGGAGCTGTGCGACACCGAAATCTAGGTCGTGATTCTACCTCGTCCATCATTAGCAGTGTCCCACGGCTGGATTCAATTGCCCGAGCTGATACATACCCCGATACAAGCAACATCAGTTCCAGCTTTGTTAAGGAAGGGTACCATGTGCCGCCCCTTTGTCACTGTGCTTTCCAGGCTGGGGTTGAAGGCATCTCCGGAAAAGAAGGTGAGGGGGGCGGGCTGGTCGGCGAAGCGGGGATCCGATCGGTAATAGTTGATAACAGATTGAAACCGAGAAACGCCGCCGACTGGTTCTGCAGAGCCTGGTCTTTACAACAGTTAGTGAGCGCGCACTGAAGAGAGATCGTGGTGACATACTCAACGTGATACACGTCATTGTAATGGATAAGGCGTAGGTCAGGGGTGCCTGTCCTGTCGGACGAATGGGTAACGGAGGAGCCACTATCTGCGACACTCATTGTGACTGAGAGAATAACTATAATGAAACTATCACGAAGAGAATACAATCAAGAAATAGAAAGGAAGAGTACGTGAGTAAGAGAGGGAGGAGAAGAAGAAGAAGAAGTTGGAGGGGAATAGAAGGCGGTCTGGCACAAGGCGGGGAACGTGAGGCATCCAGGCCTGCAGGCACCCGGGAATCCCCCGTTTTGCCACCGCCAATCATTAGTGGATCGACTCTATACAATCGATTATCAGTTTAGGCCCACTAAATCCTTGGAGATCCAATTGAGTGTGGCGAATTAGCCAATCCATGTCATACATGGTTTTCCGGCTTTCAGAGATTACATGACAAATGATATAAATAAACACAAATCCCCAGTGCGCCAAGACGCCACCATCTGTCTCATTCTCCATCATTGTACGCCTACTGGCCGTGCCCCCGATAGATTCACCACGCGCCCACCACCCGCTGCGGCGGGTGCCATGGTCTTCATCGGAGCCGGGGGTTTCACCCACCCCGGAACACTGTCGTCGTCTGCTTCGCGAGCGGCAATGGTGTGCCACACGTTGGGGAATCCCGTGGGCAACGCACCACGCAGTCGCGCGCCCGGAATGGCGAAACGAGGGTTGCGGTGCGTGAGATAGCCGCGCATCAACCCTTGGGTTAGAATGGAGGCGAGGATCGATTCGAGCTCGCGCATCATCGTGGTCGGCTTCCCCGGGTCCTGCCCCAGCGCCGACTGTCCCACGGTCCGCTGCGCATAAGGATCCAGCTCGTGTTCCTGATAGTCCGTGTTGGGTGGTCCGTCGACTAGACCCCGGGTGGGATTACTGTGGTACTGCCCTTGGGCGTCGAAATGCCCGTCTGGGGCCAGGTAGTCGCCATACTGGGCCATCAGCGCACCGTCGAGCGGGCTATCAGCGGCGTTTCCACCGACAAAATCCGGATCGGAGGATTTATAGATGAGCTGCGATCCCACGCGGTTGTCACCTGCCCGCGCATCCATATCATGGTCCGGTGGCCGTACGGCGAGATTGCGATTGGATCCGGAGTGTTGCGACTGAAGCCACCGGACAGCGGTTTCGAGCTTCGCCAAGTACAGGAAAGGCGGCGGGCCACGTTGGGCCGTCCCCTGCAACTCGCCATGGAAGCCCCCGTGGATAAACACTTTTCGGGCCAGCGACCGCCAGACGAGGATCTCACATCGATTACGGACGGCCAGTAAGATGCCGCGCTGTGCAAACCACTCGCTCACTTCCGAACCCCCTGCCAGGTGCTCACGAAAGGCGATGTAGTCACCGCGCACGATCAGCCGGCAGATCGGGACGAATTTATCTGCCAGCCCCTCCGCCTCGGGCAGCCCCAGCAGTTTCAAGGACGGAAATCGGCCCATTATGATGTTACACGGGATGAGATAGGTGAGGATGACGCGTTTCTGGTTGATGCCCTGCCTGTGGCATTGGTTGTATGCCGCTTGGAGGGCGATGCGAGCGGGGTGGAATAAATTGTTGGAGAAGAGGTATCGTCCGAGGTAGTAGAGATAGGTGACTCGTTGCGACGCCGGAAAATAGGTCAACGGAGGAGATTGGGCGCTGATACTGGCGAACATCTGTTCTGCATTCCGCAGTTTGCCGCACTACACCTGTTAGTCTCTGGACCTCCGGTATGGGATTTGAGATCGTACTTGGAAGAGGAGTTTCAAACACAGATTGGCCATGAGGTAGATCCCGACGCGCTTTCCTTCGGGCTTGCCCGTGGGCCCTGGCGTACCGCTGCGATCGGTGAGGCACTTGATGAAGGCTTCCCGAACCACATTCGCCGACTTCTCTACCAAGGTCACTTTCTCGACGCTATCATCCTGGTCGGAGCGGCCCTCCATCCTCAGTATCTGCGCGATCAAATCCGGTCGCTTATCCAAACCCATGGCTAGTTTTGCTAGGACTTTCGAGAGGTAAAGGACTGTTGGTAGGACGATCACACCGAACTGGCTGTCCCCGAGGGCCAACACGCACTGGCTGTCGCAAAAGTAAAATAATCAGCGGTCATTCCGAAAAAGGACCAAGTTTGAGTCGGGGCGTACTTGAGGAGACCTTTCAGAAGGTTATACGTGTCCAGCAAATTTTCGACGTTCACATCGCGTAAAAAGGTAAAGTAGAGTTTCATAAAGGTCGGAAACGCGATCCAGGAACTACTAGTATCTTTCGAGCGCGGGACCAGCCCTTCGCATCGTCGCAATAAGTCCGCCTCTTTCCGTGAGCCGCTAGGATACTGCTGTCGGAGCTCCACCAGCATCTGCTGGTATATCTCGGATAGCGGGGGTTCGATCTGCAGAAAGTCCTGGAGTTTGGCCCCGTCGCGACTCCGAACGATATCGGCAATCCCTGACAGGAATCGGTCGAGGACCGGGGTGGCCTGGGCTGCCATTGCGCTTGCGACTGACACTGGCTTGGATTATAGGCCGTTCCTGAGTCAACGCTGAGGATGTAAGGAAAGGCTGGTGGTCGAAGAGGATGTCGAAAACCGTCCGCTGTAGCTTGTCATGGAGGCATATGGGGAAGAAACTCCATTCAACATTGACCAGGCATTATTTGTCGGTGATAGTGATACTGGTGGGTCAGTGAAGAGGGCGGCGAAGGTATTTCAAATAAGACAAATGACGAAAGTCCTATGCAAATAGTGGATGGATAAAGAAATTGGTTATTAGAAACGCGCAGGAGAGAGACCCAGCGGAATCAGAGCAAAAGAACAGGACAGTGCATGGAGCGGCAGAATTCATTCTTCTACTGACCGCCTTCTATCTTAATCATTCCTTAGTATAGAGAGCAGTGTATACTTGATTATTTGGGATTACTCAGTCACCCAGCTGAGTCGTTGATTTGGAGATATTGACAGACAATATTACATATTACTCTTCCTCTATCAATGATGTGGCACTTAGCCGACAGCTAGTTTCAGTAGCATTGACGCTGTTTACAGACTCAACAGTGACCGTAGTGTCACGTGAGCTTATCTCCAGGGCGCTTCTACAGCATGACGTCATATATATCGGTGCCTGAGACTCACTTGCTCCATGTGTTTCAATTGCACAGGACTGGAATGAGCTAAGAGCAGTGGGAAAGCTTGAGAATTCATGTGGAGATCCAATCTATAGATGTTATGGGTATATCACTGACAACATACCCATATCCTCCAGGTTCGTGTTATATATTTATCCATTCTGGGATTTCACTACTTTGTTAGTACTTATCATCTATTTGAGTATATTCCAGTGAGTTTGATCTATCAGTTACTCACTAGCCAGGAAATACAAAATACATGCAAGGGAGTGCTCCCAGCCATAAGAATGGAATCGCCGGTGTTCTTCGAACTCTACAACTATGTATGGCAGAAACACAACCAACACCACTGAGTGGTTCAAGATGTAACTAGTTACTTCGGGGATAGCCTCCACAGCAGACCACACGGATTTATTTCGTTGGGGTATCAGCCTTATGAAACCCTACCAGTATGCTGTCTGGTGCTTTGGTACAGTGGCCGAGATATTCTGATGTTTTACGTATGCTGTCTCCTCACATAATACCTTCATTCTTCAGCCCTCGCAGGTCGCAGTGGATATTGGTCTTCTGACCAAGTACAGACTCTGCATGATTGAGCTCTTCCATCTTCTGTTATCGAGTGGAAAAACATAAATAGTTAGTAGATGCCAGGTAGTGTATGGTACCTGGTCTTGGTTAGCTGATCTCCTGTATCAGAAGAGTATCTTAACAGCTGTGAAGGAGCTTCTATAGTAGGATAAGATTCAGAAGTATAGTTCTGGATTTAATAACTATATGTAGATCAGCCCAAGCATTGGATGAGAAGAGTAGTACTAGTCAGTAATACTATCATGAGGAACTTGATAGTGATTACACAGGTGCTAATCCAGGAAGTGTCTCAACATCAGTGATATCCCAACCATGACTACGAAATCCTTCAAGTATGTTTAAAAATTGCATTTGTATCTCTTTCTAGTTTAATTTAGTAGTCTTAGGATATGGGTTAAAGAGACAGCTGGTCCAGCTAATCAGGTTCGAAATATCAGCTATCTAAATACTGTTTGGTTCATACATCTTGGGGTTGGTATCACAATGATACAAGTTTGGTAAATGAATTATCTAGTAGAAATTATAGCCTCTCGTCCTGTCTTGTGCTTAGAACATACAGGAATACTAATATCATGGACAGGATTAGTTCAAGTACATGGGATCCCGGGATGTTATTCGTTCTAGACATGCTTTGCCTCCTGGTCTCAACTTCCGAGCCCCACCAGATATTGACTCAAACGCCTCAGTGCACTGCTGATTGCCCAAGACCCAGGTTCCAACAGTTCCAGTCATGAGCTGGTGGAGATCCGTTGCATAGCGACGATCCGGCGCAGCTAGCCGACCGCCGTTAACCGCGTGGAGCAGGCTATTAGAGCCGAGTGCTGGAAACACAGCAAGGTTTTTGCGGGGATCCAGATGGGCAGTCCTCACTTTCTGAGCTACCTTGAACTACACGACTTCTGATTCCTCAATTCAGTGTCTGTCATTTTCCATGGTCACAATTCGTCGCTTCCCCATTTTTTACGGATATCAAGATTACCAGGACCTTGGATGGGACGTTTCTCATTTAGTGAAGGATTTGTTGGAAGAGGTAGGCTTCATTGATCCCACATATTAGGCGTCCAGGTTTACACGAGGTACTAGGGGTAAGAGCTCAGGGATTAATGTCCCATGATTAAATACTTGAAGCTCTCTAGCTACTTCAGGATAAGCAGGGGGGCTAGTGCGGAGAATTGGAGATAAGCTGGTGGGGACTTCTGGAATATGAACGGATCGTGCCGACACGTTCCTGGATATATTCCAAGTGATACTGTTATCTCCCCACATATCATACACTGTTGTGGATATCAGTCGGGTCAAGCGCTCGCAAAGTGCTGTTCAGCATTCTGACACAGTGACTGTCATACAATCAATGGCACAATAAACCGATCTATAGACAAGAATGGCATGAACTACAGGAATCTGGAGAGAAGATTCCCCAGAAGGTACCTCTTCCCTGGGACACGGCCTCTGCGCCTTGACTGGATTCTGAACTCGACCCCGACAGAGGTTACATCCACTTTGACACCGCAGCCAAACAGCTAATAGGCCCAGGGATATAACGCAGGTTGGCATTGCAACGCTGGAAGACGTGATTAAGATTAGGGTGAGATTGGTTTGCAGACTAAAGACAGTCTAACCGCAAGCGCCGGCTCAGATTCGCCTGGAATGCTTTGTCTCATTCCACTCTGCCAGGGATCTATATTACCCCCGCGGATCCCTTCCAGGTCAGGTTAAGCTGGCCTGCATAAGAGGAAAATGGATACGGATAAAACATGCCAGACCAGACGCCACTCGTGCGGAGGTGCCCGTGGTTATCTTCGGCCTAGATTGCACCATCCCCTCATCTTATAAATAAGCCCGTTCGTTTCACTCTTTGTTGGCCCACGTGTGCGATCATCGTCGAGCTTTCACAATGGCTGTTCTCAGGTGGCTTTCGCTTGCTGTTGCAGCTTCCTCTGCGCTGGCTCTGACTCCAGAGTGCGTCTTCCTTGCTTGTCGCATGCTAATTTCTGGCTAACACCGCGTAGGCAGATGCTTAGTGCCCCCCGCAGATCTGAGGCCATCCCCAACCCCTCTGGTGTAAGTGCAACTCCCACGGTCATTGGGTAAAGATCTAACAATTGTAGACCGTGGCGATCTTCTCTAGCTCGCAGTACTCATTCAAGTCCCACGAATCCAGCGCCTCATGGAGCCTGTTGGACCTCAAATCAGGAAAAATCACCCCCCTCACCGACGACAGCAATGTCTCCGAGGTAGTCTGGCTGAGCGACAAGTCTCTCCTGTACATCAATGGCTCCAATGCCGACATCCCCGGTGGCTCGGAGCTCTGGGTTTCGGATGTCTCCAAGTTTGGCTCTGGGTAAGTCCGAAAGACGCATGGCGATGACTGCGAATGCTGACCCCGGTAGATACAAGGCCGCCTCCTTGCCTGCTGCGTTCTCCGGGTTGAAGATTGCAGCCACCAAGAAGGGAGAGATTAACTTCATCGCCAACGCCAAGTCGTACCCCAATGGCACGGCGTACAACGAGGAGCTTGCTGCCAAGGCTCTCAGCACCGCGCGTATCTACGACAGCATCTACGTCCGCCACTGGGACTACTACCTCACGACTGCCTTCAACGCCGTGTTCTCCGGAACGCTCAAGAAGGGCAAGCACTCGCACTACGTCTCGGATGGAAAACTGAAGAACCTCGTCTCGCCAGTGAAGAACGCCGAGTGCCCGTACCCTCCCAACGGAGGCGCCTCAGACTATGACCTCTCGGCCGACGGTAAATGGGTCGCGTTCAAGAGCAAGGCTCCGGATGTCCCTCAGGCCAATTACACCACGGCATACATCTACCTCGTCCCTCACGATGGCTCGAAAACCGCCGTTCCCGTCAACGGACCTGACTCTGCCCCTAAGGGCATCGCGGGTGACTCCAACAACCCTGCCTTCTCCCCGGACGGCAAGAGCCTGGCTTACTTCCAGATGGAAGAAGACACGTACGAGGCTGACCGTCGCGTGACTTACGTCTACGACCTTTCCTCGAAGGAAATCACCGCGCTCGCAACAGGGTGGGACAGGTCGCCCGACTCGCTGAAGTGGGTAGACGACGAGACCATTGTCGTCGGCGCCGAAGACAAGGGCAGCGCTAATCTCTTCCTGATCCCCGTCGACGAAGCCACAGACGACGGCTTCAAACCCAAGTGTCTCACCAACGGCAAATATGCCACAGCTTACTACCTTTTGTCGAAGAAGTCCCTCCTCGTCACTGGATCTACCATCTACACCAATTGGTACGTCGATCTCGTCAGCCTCAAGTCCAAGAAGGACGGGGTCAAGACCGTCGCATCCGCGCACAAAATCGACCCTGAGCTCAAGGGCCTCGGTCCCGATGACATCGACGAGATCTGGTTCAAGGGTGAATCGGCTGACGTATGTAACCCACGGACTCTTCAACGGTTGACACATTGAACCATGCTAACCTGAGCGCACAGATTCACGCCTGGGTGATCTACCCCGAGGGCTTCGACAAGAGCAAGAAATATCCCCTCGCCTACCTCATCCACGGCGGTCCCCAAAGCTCATGGGGCAACTCCTGGAGCAGCCGCTGGAACCCCAAGGTCTTCGCCGACCAGGGCTACGTCGTTGTTGCTCCCAACCCAACTGGATCTACCGGATTCGGCGATGAACTGACCGACGCTATCCAGAACAACTGGGGTACGTATCTCCGCCACCTCTAATGACCTTCTAAAAGAGCCCAAAGACCCCAATTAAACAAACGAACCTCACTAACCACCCATTTCTAAAATTGACAGGCGGCTCCCCCTACAAAGACCTCGTCAAGGGCTGGGAATACGTCCGCGACAACCTCGACTACGTCGATACCGCGCGCGGCGTCGCCGCAGGCGCCAGCTTCGGTGGCTTCATGGTAAACTGGATCCAAGGCAGCGACCTGGGCCGTGAATTCCAAGCGCTGGTCACGCACGACGGCACCTTCGTGGCAGACGCCAAGATCTCCACCGAGGAACTGTGGTTCATGCAGCGCGAGTTCAACGGGACGTTCTGGGACGCGCGCGATAATTACAGACGCTGGGATCCGTCGGCGGCGGAGCGCATTCTGAAATTCGCCACCCCGCATCTGATTATCCACAGTGATTTGGATTATCGCTTGCCTGTGGCCGAGGGACTGTCTCTGTTCAATGTCCTTCAGGAGAGGGGCGTGCCGAGTCGGTTCTTGAACTTCCCGGATGAGAATCATTGGTATGTTCTATCTTTTTGCCTTCTTATTCGGGATTTGTGTGTGTGCTAACTAGATGGTGTAGGGTCATCAACCCCGAGAACAGTCTCGTGTGGCACCAGCAGGTCCTCGGCTGGCTGAACAAGTATTCTGGCGTTGGCAAGGAGAACAAGGATGCCGTGAGCCTTGAGGATACGGTTGTGCCGGTTGTTAACATCAACCCGCCTGCGTGATTGATACTGTACATAGTAGTAATGCGATCTTATGAGATTGCTGGATATGAACTCGTAACTCATTAATATCACACTTGGGTCGTTACTGGTTTATTGTAAGCCCTTTTTTTTCGAGGAAATACAAGACTAAAGGGAGTGGACGACCCGGTACATTCCGATCACTTCACTCCGAAGCCATCATTTGTTAGTCACAGAAGCCCTATCACTTATAAATTTCTACTTCGAAACACCTGTAAAATCATAACCAGCCGTCTTGCAGAATACAACAAGGAAAGTGAAAGCTAGATAGATAACAGGAGACTAACAATTACATACAACACACTGACATGTCAGGGTTATTGACAAACGAAGTAACAGCAGAACAAAACATCCCAACAAGGCCCTCAGCATCAGCTCTGCATCCGAACTCACTCGACATAATCAGCACAACAAACAATGAATCCCTCTGGGGATACGTGTAAAGGTATACAGTCCTCTCGGGCGGGTTATCAATGCTATGCGCCAACACCTGCCACACAGCATCACCGACGCGCGTAACGGGGTTGGCGTCGATATTCTCGTGCAGAACAATAGAGTCCATCTCTGTATCGTTGCTCCACTCCGTACAATTAGCGACTATGTCCCCCCATTCAAGGGTGTGATAGTCCATCGAGTCGACGTGTTGGCGCTGGACAGCACTTAACAGGTCTCTGACTGTCGACTGGGCCTTGTAGTGAACGCGGACCGGAATAGGATTGAGACACGGGCCCAGGATCCGCTCTTGCCCGGGGATGCCAACAAAGCGGGAATTGGTGATTTGGCAGAATGTGAGATCATTGCTGTCCGCCTTCTGCCGCAGAACATACGACCAAGCTGCCTTTACCACCGTGGCCCAGGTAAACCCCGGAGGGGGTGGGCTCGTTGTGGGCAGGTCCCGGGAGGCGACTATACAGACGGGCTGTTGATGGTTTTTTGACGGGGTGAGTGGAAGGGTTATCGGCGTCGAACCGTGCAATAGGTCCGTCCAAAAGCGCAGTGACTGCGTGGTGCGTAGTTCAACACATTTGCGGACGTAATCCGCATAGGTGGCTTGGACATTGAGGGGCTTACTCTCGTACAGCTTTGCTAGATCAGAAAGGATGGTTTCAGACAAAGCCCGTCAAATTGGCCGTGGTTGGCTCGCATGATCAGCGTATGCTGTTGTGTTCTATCGTCTTGTAGCAGTATGAATTTGACGAATGTCTCGTTCGTCTGATATGTTCTCCGGTCCATGGCACATACAGAATGTGCCCACATATTGGGGTCGTAGTTATCTGGGGGCTCCGTGAACGCCGTCCATGGGACTTTCACTTGTTTCTGGACAACCTGTACGTGACTGTCGCGAAATTGTACAAAGATAGTGCGTAATATGGTGTGATGCTTCACCAGATCTTGGCAGGCAAGGCGTAATTGAACAGGGTCAAGACGGCCCGAAAGCCGGATTGGTATGTAGTCCATTATTCCATACTGTACCAGAAACAATTGCATCTCGCGTGTTGGAAGAATGTCTTCAATGTTGCTGACGGTGAGCTGCTCAGGAAGGTAGCGCATGAAGTCCTCTCGCAGGGAACGAAAAGGGTCAAGACCCTTCCAGTCAGGAACGGAGTTTCTAGATACAGGATGGCAGGTTTGGGCACACCGAGCAAGCGAAGTCACGTCCGGTTGCTGGAAACAATCAGAACTTTTATGGATAGTCCCTCTGTCCGTGCAAGGGCTACTAGCTGTCGTGCTGAGAGAGAGTCCCCTCCCAACGCTAGGAATCGGTCATCCATCCCGATACACTCTGGATCTTCTGACAATACTTTGGCAATTAGAGACTGCAATACCGCTTCTGTTTCCGTAGTCGGGGGCCTGAAATCCCTAGGTGCATTCAGGTAGGTAAGTATCTCTCTTCGAGATAATCGAGAAATAGTCTCTATCAGGAGCTTACGATGGATCTTTCCGGATGCTGTTCTGGGGAGGCTGGTGACCGATATGAATGAACTTGGCATCATATACGAGGGTAGTACTTTGCGCATGTTCTTCATAGCTGCCTTTACACGGCTCAAAAATGCATAATCGTGTGCAATAAGCCGGAATGTATCTGTCGTTCCGCCACTTCCAGGAGCAGTGGGAATGACATCGACTAGCATGCCGCACTGTGGATCGCCGTCACTAGGGTAAACAATCTCGGTACATACATTGGGCTTTTCCGGAAACTGCGCTGCCAAATGATACTCGATCTCGGCAAGTTCCATTCTTTGGCCACGGATCTTGGCCGTCCTGTCTTTGCGGCCCCTATATTGGAACGAGCCGTCGACAGGGCTGCGTGAAAAGATATCGCCAGTCTTCAGAAAGCGGTCATGTTCCTCGATACCCACCCGTTGTCTCCACGTGGGATTTATGAACGTGTTCCTTGTTTGTTCCTCATTCTTTACATAGCATCTTGCTATGCATGGCCCTTGGAGGACCAGCTCTCCTTCAGCCCCGAGAGGCATCAGACGGTTATGGTCCTTAGGGTCGACAATCCAGCCAGTTCCGGAACTCGGAAATCCAAGCGTCGATAAATCGCTTGACGTTGAGATGGGTGTGGTCATGATAGCACAGCCATATTCAGTCTGCCCGTACAAAGCGTATAGCGCGACGTGCTTCTCCCATTTACTAACTTCCGAGCGGCTTGTCTGTTCCCCAGCTAGGAGCAGATGCTTGATGGATGGGACAGCTTTGGGGTCAATAACCCTCGCCACTGATGGTGTGAGTACTGCCCAGGTGGGCCGAAGTTCACTTATTGCCTCCTCCATGTTATTTTCCAACTTCTTCTCCGAAGGGATACACAGACAGGCGCCTCGGATTAGTGCCGTCAAATGCTCTGTCATGGCTACACTGAAGTTATATGATGCAAACTGGAGCATATAAGACTCTCTGCTCACTCCAGGGATCTCGAGGCTACTGGTAAAAGCCGCGTGCTCCACAAGCACCCCCTTGGGCTCTCCAGTTGAGCCAGATGTAAAGCCCGCGAACAGCACGTGGTGGCCTTCGGCCTGGCATGATCGTTCAAAAGGCCAGTCCACCGATGCTGTGTTTGTATCTCGAACTTCCATATCTTCCAGTATTGAAACCGGTGGTCCGAGGAGAGATGCTTTGGCGGCGTGTCGTCTTGAAGCCAGAATTAAGTGCGGTGAAGTTAGTTTGCACATTGCAGTGAGCCGATATGTTGGTTGCGAGGGATCCAGCAGTGCAAACCCTCCACCTGCTTTTAATATTCCCAGGAGAGCCACAACTGTCCGAAGAGATTTCTCTGACAGAATAAATACAAGCTTCTCAGGCTCCACATTGGCCTTGACAAGTGCGCGAGCAAGGCAAGAGGCCTGGTTATCGAGCTCATTGTACGTAAGCTCTCCATCCCAGGCACGAATGGCTGGCGCAGACGGCCGTTCGGTACAGCGCTGTTCGAACAAATGGTGAACGCACTTTTTGCACTTCTCTATTCTGTGTGAACTGTTCCATTCAATACTCTTCTCCAAATCTTCTGGGTTGATCCCATGGATGTCTCTCAAACATGCGCCGGGGTGCTGGTCGATCTGCCCAAGGGTATATGACAACTGGTGGACCATGGATCGGGCAAACTCCAGGCTCATCACGTTGGAGTCAAATATGGCATGGATGGCGATACTTTGTTCGCTGATGCCACAAGCTATAATCAGAGGATAATCTGAACCATCTGGGTCGCCGAGCATTGCAGTTGCATTATCATTCTGTTCAAGCGGTCTGATAATCATCAGATTGCGGAAATCACAAATCCGAGTGGCCTCCATGCTCGTAGTACGTAGATGATCGAGTCCAAGTTGCTCGAAATGGCGACTTTTGCTGCGATATTGATCCACCATCTCCGTTGCCATCCGAACCGTCACGTCTGGCTGCAATTGAAGGTGGTAGGGGACGGTGAAATCCCTGTCCTTCCCGACACCATCGCTATCATCCAACAGGCCAAAGAGTACATCAGACGTGTTGGTGTAAAGGCCAATTGTCAAGGCCCAGCTGAGACATAATTGGGCAGGTAACGCTGCGACTGGACTGCCATGCAAAGCAACAGTCTGAACCTGACAGTCGAGGGAACAGCTGTAGGTATCTGACGGTAAGGGCGGAAATTTGATTCCATCAAACTCCATAAACTTGGGCCCGAACACAGCTGTTGCATCGTCTGGGGCTTGATGGGCAATTTCTTCATTTGCATTGGTCATTGTGAGCCTTGTAGGTGTTATGGCTGTAACGCAGTTGCAGATAACCTTCAAAGGTTTTTTTTGGTGGTGGTGAATAAGGTACCTAAGAGAACCCTGTATAGCATGATCTCCGGAAGGGGTTTATGTATCACTTGGGAAATGTACACCGACTTTGCGAGCAGATCCAGGCTGTTGCTCATTTTGAGTTCTTGGCAGGGAACATCAGAAGCTATTTCAGTCATCATCACTCATATTCAAAACGAGGACCAGCTCCCGACTACCAGATCACAAAGGGCAGTCTTCTACTTTAACTTCACACGTCTCACCTCAGAATGAATCTGCGTCTCGATCCTCCCTTATTGTAGTAATATCTGTTACAATTCATGGGCGTCAGCCTGAATAAGCCCTCTCAAGTCCACATCTGGGGTATCACAATGAGCTAACAGATCCTCCTACTTCTGAATCTGTATAGACATCAGTCTCACTACTAAGTTTCATAAGATACGCTATCACAAACCATTTCAATCCACGCAGCCCTGATTGGCGTACACCGCTAAGTCATCATGGCCGAATGACACGCTCAAAATGGAACCCGACTGATGAGATCTACGTACTGTTTTCCCACGGAGTTAACTCATGTGGCAAAGCAAATGTTGGGCTGGTCTACTGCAGGTGGAAAGGGCTGGCACGCTTTCACCCTGGACCAGCCCGCACTGTAAAAGGTATCTACTCCTAGAGATCTACGAAGTCGTTCATCAAATTTGCCGGTGATACTTCTCCTCCTTGTTTTCCTGTTGTATCTGACTCGGCGAGATGTCAAGTCCCATAACAGGCCCCGGTGGATCTCGCCATCATGACCTGCAGACAGCCCTTATCAGAACAACTGTAGATAAAGTTGAAACATGTCAACTATCAGCTATAAAGAGGCAGGCTAGATAAATATAAAGGCAGTGTATCCGTACAGTTGCCGGGCTTTTGGTAGGGCCTAATTGAGCTCTACGCAGAGAGGGGGAATTTTTTATATAAGATAAGAGCTACAAGAAATTATCAGATATATTATAGGAGTTAGAAAACAAGCAGACATAACGTGAAAGTAAGTTTAAATTAGTCTATGCCATCTTAACATTTCCCAAGAGCATTGTATATGGCAAGTGCTCTCTAACCAAGGCGTCTCGGATGTCTGGCTACAAGTAGTAGCCTAATCTAGCACCCGAGAGTTAGGGAATAACACCCCCATACCATTTCAAGTTTTACTCATGTCGTTTCCCTTATGAACCTTTTCCTAAATTTCATAATATCTCAACTGCTATTTTGATCTATAGTTAGACGAACTTCCTAGAACTTCCGTAAGGGTTTCATAAAGAGCATCAAAGACCTACCAAGTGTGTTGTCGTTCAGATCCCGACCCGGCCACCCCGACCCTAATTCAGGCCGGATTGGGGGGATTCCTCCCGGTCCTCCCGGTCCTCCCGGGGGCCAACCTGCCACACAATGTGCCAGTACTGCTGCCGACCGCCGGGAGTATTATGCGCCCCACCTTTGGCTGACCTTTTCGTTTGGTTTCACTTTTCAGTCCCCTGCAATGATGATGGTCATTGGTATGTGGGTGAAACATTGTTGAAAAGATACCTAGGTACTATCGACCGCTGTCTCCTATCTGCTATCTAACTTGGGACCCTCCCCACTGGAGCACTGAATCCAATGAACTCCCCTTTGTCCCACAGCGGGATCCAGATGGTCATGCCATCCCAAGGACCGGTTTATCACCCAGGCTTCTGAATGGATGCCACGGGTGGTTCGTGGTCCGTGGTCCAGGGCATGATGGGCCAGAATCCGACCTTGCCCACAATTATCTAGGAAATATATTGATAGGCACAGGTTTTGTGGATGGTAAAACGGGATGATGCAGGTATCAACCCCTACCAAATGACAGAGCAGACAAGTCACCAATTGCCTGATGGCATGATCAATATTACATTGATATCAGTGTGGGAACAGATAACGGCAGGGATAGTTACAGGGAAATCTTCTTGGATGATGACCAAATTGAAAACGCAGGAGAATCCACAATCCGTGCACTTTCACATGTTGGTGAGCCAGACTCCACCCATAACGTCATCGTTCGTAACGTCACCAAAAGAGGTTCAAACAAGGACTGGCCAGAGTCCTGATTTTCGCCAGCTTCATAAAGCTTAACATTTCCCCTTCCAGTGCTTCTCTTGTTCCATCTATATTTCCTTTCTTATCCATTCTTCCCCTACTGCATCCTGTTCCAAGTCAATTGAGGGCTCAACTATACCTCCTACGGTCTTGAGACGTCGCTCGCATCTACGTCAGACCCGACCTGAACTCTTTTCATTCCTATCAACGGTCGGGTCAAAACCACACTCGCCATGGCTGGTGGGAACACTGGCATCGTGGCTTCGGCCAACAATCTTTTTCTGCAAATCTTTACATGTGGCTACATGCTCCTACAGATGTTCATCAATTGGATCTTCGCCCCGAGTCCGCCTCCATCCGACTCGGTCGCTGACTCTCTCCCGAAAAAGAAGATCGCCATCATCGGCACCGGCTTGACGGGCGTGTCCTCGGCCGCCCACGCAGTGGGCCATGGCTTTGATGTCCAATTGTTCGAATCGCGATCCAAGGAGAAGGGATTGGGTGGGATTTGGAGCCGAGTCAACTCCACCTCGTCCCTGCAGATCCACAGCATCATGTACCGCTTCCATCCCTCCGTCCGATACGACACGGCCTATCCCACCCAGGAGGAGATCAAGAACCAGATAATTGATGTGTGGAAGCGCTACGACCTTGAGAAACGCACGGTGTTCGACACCCCGGTCACCTCTGTGAAGCAAACCGACGACGGGAAATGGATCATCAATGACGATGAAGCCGCGTATGGTCAATTCGATGGTGTCGTGGCCGCTGTCGGTGTGTGCGGAGACCCGAAGCAGCCCACTTTGCCGGACCAGTCGCAATTCGGCGGGAACATCTACCACTCATCCGAGCTGGACGGCAAGAACGTCAAGGGGAAAAAGGTCCTTATCATCGGCGGCGGCGCCAGTGCCATCGAAGCCCTAGAGTTCGCAGTCAAATCCGGGGCCGGTGAAATCGACGTCTTGTCACGTTCGGATAAGTGGGTCATTCCGCGGAACATCTTCGTGCAGTCACTCCTGGCCATGAACATCTTCGGTCAGGAAACGATGCTATCGTGGATCCCCGAGTGGTTGCTGCACAAATTCTTCTACCGTGATCTGCAGGACATCGCCCCGTCCGGCGGTCTCTTCACGCAGACTCCGATGGCCAACTCGGAGCTGTTCGATCAAATCCGCGAGGGCAAAGCCCGCTGGCTACGGGGTGACATCATCTCCGTCAAGGAAGACGGCATTCTCTTCAACAGCCGATCCAAGGGCGTTCCCAAGGGCGGTCCCGGACGCGAGCAGCTGGTTTCCGGCGACGTGATCATCATGGCAACCGGCTTCAAGCGCCCCTCGTTGAACTTCCTACCCGACGACGCCTTCCAGGAACCGTACGGTCCGCCGAGCTGGTACCTGCAGGTCTTCCCGCCGAAATACATCAGCATCTGCGCCAACAACAGCACCTACATCGACGCCATCGGAACAGTTGGTAACATGCATATCGGCATCTACACGCGCTTCTTGCTCATGTTCCTCACCGACCCGCTGACCCGGCCGACTGAGGGTCGGATGAAGACCTGGATTGACTTTACGCGGTTCATGAAGCAGCTTGCCCCGACAGGCGCATTCCAATTCTTTACCTACACTGAGCTGATCTACTGGTTTGTCTTTATCATCTTGGTGAACCCCTTCCGGTGGAAGTGGGCGCCTTTCGTGCTGTTCGGTGTGGGACGGAGTTTGCCTCTTCATGTGGTCAGTAAGGAGGAGATGTTCCGTCGAGAATTGAACAAGCAGCATGATGATTAGCGCTACATTGTGATGTGGTGGTGGTCTTCTTGTGACGATTTTTCAAAAATTGACCCTAGTGTATGGCTAGATAATCTTTTACTCATTTCAAAATATCAATATATCTTACTTCATTGCTTCTTCACCTCTACCCCATATCGACTTCCACGTAAACTTTATTTAATTTTACTTCATATGATCCTTGCTTTACCCAGTTATAGCTACCTTTCCGTTGTACCTACCTCTACCTGAACCTATCTCCATATCTCATCCCATCCACAATAAACTATCAAATTCTCAACCTACCAATCCACCTACCTTAGTGGCCTTATGTCTGACAGTGACGGTCTTCCGTCATACGCAAACTGGCTCACAGACGCTCTAAGCCACCTCAAGTACTCTCCAACACCCATGGCTGACTGGTCCCTCCTCATGATGGGCGCAAAAGCGCCAGACAGAGCCTTCAAGCGCAACCTCAAACGGTCAGTATCTACACTTCCCCTGTAGCTCCAATCTAACCAACCAACAACAGCCTCTACCAAGACCGACGCTTCTCCGACCTAACCCTCGAAGCCGGCCCTCTCAAACTCGACGTCCACAAAGCAATTATAAGCAGCCAGTCAGACTACTTTCAAGCCCTACTCAGCAACAACTGGGCCGAATCCACCAGCCGCACCATCCGCCTCGAAGACGACGACCCAGAATCCGTGAAAGCGATGGTCCAATTCATGTACGAGTTTGACTACGACGACAGTGCAACCGACGACACCAGCACAGAGGAAGTCCACCCAACTATCTTCCACATTCGTGTCTACAAAACAGCCGACAAGTACCTCATCCCTGAACTCAAAGTATACGCCCTGCGCAAGTTCCTCACAGCCACAAACACCAGTAAAAAGCTAACCACCCTCCTCCCGCAAATCATCGAAGAAGCCTACGCCGCCACGCCGGCTAGTGATTCCCGCCTGCGCCGCGCCGTACTAGAGCTAGTGCTCAGCAATCAGGATAAGCTCATTCGTCGGGATGCGTTCATCGAAGTCATCAAGAACGGGGGCGACTTTGCTGTGGATTTCATGAGGGAGATGAGCCAGGTTGCGGCGCGGGTGCGCGGGTTTCTGTGTTTTAAATGTGGGCGCAAGAGTTACTTTGATACTACGCGGTCGACAAGGATTCGGGTGTATACTTGCGTGGAGTGTGGGGCGCGTATTAGAAGGGTTTTTTATTAGGGCTGCTTTTTTTGCTTTCTTGAATTTGATTGACGGTTGCTGGTTGACCATACATGATGTTCTCATCGATAAGTAGGGATAGGTTGGTTTAATACCAGGGTAGCCATGCAGACAGACATGGTTAGATGGTTCAACTCTAACCCTAACATATTCCTCTCTATAACTGTAGACGAAACGCCTTAGATCAAGAGAACACTTAACTATTGAATTTTCCATTACACCCTATTTGATACAATAGTTGTCTCCTGCCAACACACCAGAAACCAAACAGCCCATTAAAATACATAAACACCTCGCGCCATGCTCAACCCACATCAAACCCAACACCAATCAATTTCCCGCTTTTGCCCTATTGCCATAAGGCTCCCCGCTATCCTTCGAAAGTGAGAATGGAAAAAACACGATCGTCAAAACCCGCGCGATAGCGCAGTATCCATACGCGCCAATCAGGCAAAACAGCGTAGCCAGCGTCTGCCACAACATCACAAGCGAACTACCGCCCCAAGGCACCACAAACTTGATAAACTCCGACGTCTGATACAGATCCTCCTGCTTCGCAATATAGTACCTCTGAGCATTCGCATCCGGCAGCGGTCGTCCATCGCCAGGGTCCCGCGTCAGATCCAGCACGGTCGTGAGCGTCACGGGAGCTCGATAGAACGGCACGATCCAGATGGAGAAGACCTGCGAGATATTGACGTAGAGGCGGAGGTGGTCTTTGTCGTATGCTATATACATATCGAATTCCATGTCTTAGCCAGCTGGTCTTATACGTGCGGGTTGGGCGGTATGGGTGGCATGTTGGCTTACCAATTGAGTTCACATCGAGAGAGATCTCAGGCGACATCATTTTATACCATTGGAAGATGATCTTGATACCATCCCGGCCACCAGGTTTGCCCCAGACGCGGCAGAACGGATGCACGAAGGTGGCGTCGGATGTGAAGTACCGGTCAATGGCCCAGGACTGGATCTCAGGTGGGCCCTGGGTCAATTGTCGGATGACGTTGGTGATATCTCGGACTGGAAGGACTTATGTTAGCTGGTGTATCCTGATGATGTCCATGCATGTGTAGAGGTAGTGCTGGTGGGGTGTATCTGATGGAGAAGGGACTGACCGGGATTTTCCATTTTTGCTGCTTATCTCCAGTCATACAATATCTGTGGATACAATTGACTGTATGGGTGGAATGAGAAGGTTTAAGTAAGGTGGATAAAATATGACAACGAAGGAGGAGTCGGAACGTTCCTGGATTATCGGCGGAGCTCGATGAGACGACTCTGACGTCATTCGCATGTGAAGCTGGCAGGTGCCCTGGTGTGTGATGCCTTGGCGCCTGAGTGCCCCAGGCTAGATTTACGTCAACATGTATCCATCTAGATCAGAATGTCAACCAGCGCAATGTCATTATTAGTCTTCCTTACACCAGTAAACAATGTTGATTAAATATAATGATGAGATGGAAATGTTCCCTGTTATGGTAAATTTCATTGAACTTTTGCCAAGTGTGGTATCAAGACCGTGATAGATATTCTAATATAAAATAAAAACATGCCGAGGGCAAAACAATAACTCCGTGATATACATGAGATAGACTTATTTCTTCCATCCCTCGATCTTCTTGCGACGCTTCTCGAAGACGTGACCCAAACCCGCATCGCCGCGGGGCCCATCGTCGTTCTTGCGTTTCCGACTCCTGTCCAAAGCACCGCCGCTGCCTTGGGCGCGCCGAGTAAGTTTCGCGATGCGGTCCGCGCCCTCGGTGAGCCCTCTCCAGTCTTCACCACCGAAAGTGCCCTCCGGACCACGCTGGCCGCGGGTCTTGGCGCGGTCCTTCTTGCTCTCCTTGCCCAAACGAATGAAATTGGTCTCTTCGTAAGCTGCCCGCTCGGCCTCCTTGCGCCGCTCCTTCTGCGACTTGGTGTGTCGTCCTCCACGCACAATGGTACTTCCGACGCTGGGCTCCGCCATGGGAGCGGACGACATTTCGGCGCTGACGAACTCGTCGATAACGTTCGATCGGCGATTGACACGCTCCTTGCGCTCCTTGGTTTCGGTGGTGGGCAAGGCGGTCGGCATGATCTTCGGTGGTCGGTAGATCCCGTCACCGGTGGCGTTCGTGTTCGATCGGTCCAGCGTCGGTGGGGGCTCGACGTTCTTCGCAAACACAGACAGGTTAGGTCTGTATGCCATATCATCGAGATTCTCTTCCTCTTCATTGTCATCGCTGTCGCTTTCGCTCTGACTATCGGATCCGGATTCTCCATCGTCCCCAGATCCTCGTCGTTTGGCGCTCGCCTGGGCCTCACGCTCCGCCCTCTCGGAATCCTCGGCCGCCTTCACAACCTTGTCGACCTGATACTTCAATCGTCCTTCTAGCGGTCGAACACCCCGGTCGAGGTAGACCCGCAGCTCCACCAGTTTCTTCACGAGGTCCTCCTGCTGCGATTGCCGTTGCTCGGCGTCGTTACCATCCTGTCCCGACGAAAGCTCTCTGAGCTGGATTATCGTCAGGAACACGAGATTGTGGATGTAAGAAAGGAGGAGGTCGCTCTTGACGTCGAGAAGAGAAATGCCGTCGGCCGGGGGTTCGATCGAGACATCTGCAGGATCGTCGCGATGCGTCTTCGGCAGAGATGTGCCGGTAGAAGTGAGACATCCGGTGATCGCGTCAAGCAAGCTGGAGATATTTTGCGAGCCTTGCGGCTCGGTTTGCGCTGTCGCCATTGCCATTGCGCCGTGGGAATTGACCGTGTTGTCGGAGCCTGAAATTTACGCCGGAGGGAAATTTTTAGATCTCTTATCAACACGTGACAGCATCACAGCTGAGTAAGCGGTCTTAGTCACGTGTGCCAAGGCTGCCTACTTGGCCTAATTATCATCTATGCTCGTCGCCATCATTAGCTGTTGCCCGGTCTCCTTCATTCCCACCTTGAACATCTCTAGCGACACTTGCGGTTTTTGTTGGGACGACACGCTGGACTCCCGCTTTATTGGATGCTGGCGTCTGGCTCATGAGAACCTGAACTCTTTTCTCGATGGTGTAGTAGCTGTAGACTGACTGTACGTCCCTTCCACCGATCCAGTACTACGGTAGTAGTGCTCCGACTACTGTACACCTGGCTGGCTGACCGGACGTAAACTGACCATCCGTTCAGACACACCCACAATGCGGCTCGATACACGATCCGGGCCCATCGCGGCCATCTTACTTACAATCCCTTCGCTGTCCTCGGCCTTCTATCTTCCCGGCGTCGCCCCGACTTCCTACGATGAAGGGCAGTCGGTCCCGCTTTACGTCAACCACCTCAATCCCAGCCTAGCTCAGCAGGACGAACAGCTCCACTCGGTCTTTGCCTACGATTATTATCATCCGGCTTTCCATTTCTGCCAACCGGAGGGTGGCCCGGAGGATGTGCGGGAATCGTTAGGGAGCATCCTGTTTGGCGACCGCATTCAGACCTCCCCCCTCGAATTGCACATGCGCAAAAATGAGACCTGCAAGGCCATGTGCAATCAGGTGGATTTTGATGCTCGGTCTGCCAGATTTACAAATCGGCGGATTGCGCAGGGGTACAATATCAACTGGCTGGTCGATGGGCTTCCGGGAGCGCAGATCAATTTAGAATCCGTGACGGACACCCAGTTTTACAGCCCGGGATTCGCGCTGGGCGCGATCGCCGAAAATGGGGACATGGTTTTGAACAACCACTTTGATATCTTTGTCGAATATCATCGCGTGGGCTTTGGAAACAAGGACAAGTTCCGGGTTGTTGGAGTCCTCGTCCAACCGGACTCTCGCAGCAACTCCAAGGTGCTACCGGATGGCAGCGTGGAATGCGGCACCCCTGAGACGGGTATCGTGTTGGATGAGGATGGAAAATCGTCGGTTACTTGGACGTACGGTATTTACTGGCGCGAATCGCCCACACCCTGGGCCACTCGCTGGGATAAGTACCTCCATGTCTATGATCCGAAGATCCATTGGTTTTCGCTCATCAATTCCGCCGTTTTCGTTGTCTTTCTGGTCGGCATGGTCAGCATGATCCTTGCCAGAGCTCTCAGAAAGGATATCGCTCGCTACAACCGTCTGGACATGATCAACTTGGATGACCTGGATGGAACGTCCGCTGCTGTTGAGGATGGAATCCAGGAGGACTCGGGCTGGAAACTAGTGCACGGCGATGTCTTCCGCTGCCCGCAGTCGCCTTTGCTTCTGAGTGTCCTCGTTGGTAATGGCGCTCAGCTCTTCATGATGACGGGCGTGACAGTTGGTGAGTTGAACTGATTGCTCGTATCTCCTGTTCGGATGTCTCTAACCACTTATTAGTGTTTGCCCTGCTGGGGCTGCTCTCTCCCGCGAACCGCGGCTTCCTGGCCACTGCGATTCTGTTGATCTACACCGTGTTTGGCTTCATCGGAGGATATGTATCCGCTCGCGTCTACAAGTCGCTGGGTGGGGAGTCGTGGAAGCGCAATATTGTTATGACCCCCGTGCTCGTCCCGGGGTTCATCTTCGGTACTTTCTTCCTGCTGAATTTGTTCGTCTGGGCCAAGGGGTCCAGCGGGGCGGTGCCGTTCACGACCATGCTGGCTCTTGTTGCCATCTGGTTCGTCATCAGCGTGCCTCTGAGCATTGCGGGTAGCTGGCTTGGTTTTAAGCAACGCGTACGTTGAACCTTCTCGAACGAAGATCCGGATTACAACTGACACCTCCTAGCCTATTGAGGGTCCCACCAAGACCAACCAGATTCCTCGCCAGATTCCTCCCATGACAGGAAGCCTGCGCACCATTCCCTCCTTGCTCCTGACGGGCATCCTTCCCTTCGGCGCCATCTTCGTCGAGCTGTACTTTATCATGACCTCCCTTTGGACTAACAAGATCTACTACATGTTTGGATTCCTGTTCCTCTGCTACGGCTTGATGATCATCACGTCCGCGGCCACCACGGTGTTGCTGGTGTATTTCCTGCTCTGTGCCGAGAACTACCGTTGGCACTGGAGGGCGTTTGCCGGTGCCGGAATGACCGGTGGCTACGTGTTCCTCAACGCCCTTCTCTTCTGGGCCACCCGCGTTAGCTTTGGCGGAATCACCGGTGCGGTGTTGTATGTGGGCTACTCGGCCCTGATTGGGTTCGTGGTGTTTATCTTGACTGGTATGTTTTCCTCTTCCCATTCGGGTGAGCCGACGACTGACTTTGATTATTAGGCTCTATTGGTTTCTTTGCCAGCTGGGCCTTTGTGCAGCGCATCTACGGCTCGATCAAGGTGGATTAATCTAATTCCATGTTGAGGAGCATTGATCGATTTATCCTTGGTTGCCCTTTTTTCTGCGCAACCGGCCGGACGATGATACTCTCATCACACGTGTCACGCATCATGTATCTCACATCATGGATGCGACTTCCATCCCTTCCGGACGATATTTGGCTGCTTCCGGGAACGATGCTTTCGCATATAGAGTGAAGTTTGGCTCGGTGACCGACTGCTTTTCAAATATCCCTGTACATTTTATGGCTCTTTTTCCCTGGCAGAATCTCACCCAATGCTTTACCACTCCATGTATATAGACTAGCGGGGAGTGTCTCCATCTTACTCATCACTCTGATTATTGTTCTGGTTGTTTCCATTCTTGTCTCTCCGTGGACCCGGTTCCTTGAGCCGAGGTGTATCCACTTACCACAGTCGGTTGGCTCACCTGATATAAACCGCGTCACACGGACCAGGTTGGTATTGCGGCTGGTTAGTGTCTTTGTATGATAATGAGGAATTTAGATTGTGTAGAAGTATGATCTATTCACTTATATCTTAGTACAGTAATATCACCATTGTTCTGGGAACCATAGAATTATAAATCCCGGCCCGATGAATAAATAGAAACTTCCCTGGCTGGAGCCTCAGGCCGCCAAGCCCCGTGGTCTGGAACCAACAGAACGGAATCCTTCGCCACGGCGGACTTAACATGTTGCTCGCTCTTCTGTCATGATCTTCCCTCTCTAGCCCGCCTGGTTTTTACTTTTGGTTCTGGTGCTTCCAATCTCTGTTCTTCTCTTGACGATCGCTCTTCTTTGCTTTGATTTTCCACCCTCGACTTTCCTCTCCTCATCTCTGCCCGCCTACCTGCCTACTCGATCTTATCAATCCAGCGGCGTTGCATTTACCCCGCGTCTTCCGTGACCCCCCGTGTCTCACCCCTCCGCCCGGCGCATGACCGACCGTCTGCGAATCCCTGTGCTGAAGATCGCGAGTGTGTGTCTGTGTGTGTCTGTCTGAGATAGTCAGGCCTGATCTTGTTTCAAGCTTGTGGTGTTTGCTGGGTGTCGATCATGGGTAAATCGTAAGTACTCTGCGTTCCAGCCCGGAGAGAAAACCGAGCGGATTTCTTCTCCCTGCGGGATTTGTGTTATCTCTGTTCTTTAGTTCATTCACTATGTTTTGCTTCTATGTTTATGGGCCTCCCTGTGATGCGACCGTCTCTGCGACCGTCTCTGGTCTCTGTTGTTCCCCTGAGAGTTGGTTTCAGGTCTGTAAGGCTTTGGCTAACCGCATATCAATCGCCCAGGCAGTCGAAACTCTCCCCCTCCCAGCTGGATGAGCTCCAACGAGCGACACACTTCGATAAAAAAGAACTACAGCAATGGTACAAAGGTGAGTCAGGGATAGACACGCCCCCCGTCATCCGACGCAAATGCTGACTGCGGCATGGCCCGACAGGATTTCTGAAGGACTGTCCCTCGGGCACCCTGACCAAGGAAGAGTTCCAAAAAATCTACCGACAGTTTTTCCCCTTCGGCGATCCGTCCTCGTTCGCGAATTATGTCTTCCGTGTATTCGACTCCGACAATAGCGGGATGATCGATTTCAAGGAGTTCATCTGTGCCTTGTCGGTCACCTCGCGGGGGAAGATGGAGGATAAGTTGGACTGGGCTTTCCAGCTGTACGATATTGATGGGGACGGCAAGATCACATATGACGAGATGCTTGCGATTGTTGAGGCGATCTACAAGATGGTACTAAAGCCCGCAGACCCTACATGGAGAGATCCGACTAACCGTGCAACAGGTGGGCTCGATGGTGAAACTTCCCGAGGACGAAGATACCCCCGAGAAACGCGTGCGCAAAATCTTTCGCATGATGGATAAAGACGAAAATGGCAGTCTGGACATGGAGGAATTCAAAGAGGGCAGCAAGCGCGACGAGACGATCGTCAGCGCGCTGTCTCTGTACGACGGGCTGGTATAAAGAACGACTGGATCGTTCTATCTACCTCTTTCCCTCCCCGCCGCTCTCTTTCTCTTCCCCTTTCTTCCTCTCCATCTTTCTATCTTCCACCTCCCCCGATCCTTTGAATACGGGCGCGGAGACAACTCCTCCATTTCCATCACTGTTTGTTGCTTCGTTCTAGGATTCCCATAACTGCTCGTTGTATTCACCTGTTTGTTCCGCGCCGCCATCTGTTTGATGATTCTCCGAGGCTGGTGGCGAGCCAGGTCGCCATCTATGTATTTTCAGCTTTTCCCATCTCCTTCTCTTCGTACAACTGTATTGCCTATTCGCGCTAAGTTTTGATTGATTGATTGATTGATGATTGATTGGATCTCTCAAGGAAAGATCGACATGGATGATAGAATATTACACCAGAACGGATCTACGGTGGTCGACCTACAGGCTAGTGTCACTACCGGGTGTCTCGACTCGGTGGTATCCACAGACCTAGTGAGGTTCGACTTCCATAGGAGGCGGATGAAGTATGTACAGATAACTCATTACAGGGACATGTTCACTTTAGGCGGAGTAGAGTAAAGGCACGCTCGTACGCACGAATTCCGAGTTCAAGTACTCGAAAATAGATCATTTGTACATACATGGAGTCAATCTTCGGCATCTCATTTCTTATATCCTTTTCCTTCTTGTATTATGTTGGGGCTGCATCTAGGGGCGGGTCAGCCCTACACCCCACGCGGTTTAGCCTGCCTCGGTATTTGATCCGGGCATGGAGTCCGAAGTACGGAGTACGGAGTACTGCGTGGCTGGAAGTAGATCGATTTAGTTGGTATCAGCATCCTATACCTAGATGCATGCTTATATAGAATAGTATCTAGTAAACAACAATCTAGCCAATCGAGAAAGCTGCGAATAAGCATATGGGAGGCCTTGCGCTAGGACGGTGATCGTCTTATATCCTTCACTTTATGATAAAGGTGCAAGCTTCCGCATGGAACACACTGCGAAATCCAATTTCTCAATTCTTGAGACAGAGGGGATAGCTGTTTAGTGACATCATCATCACCTACGAAGTATTTTCCCGGCATTGCGGGGCATGAAGGCACCGGACTCAGGCAAGCAGTAATCCTTTGACGTGGTTCGAGGAGACCTCCATGGCGATATAACTAGCCATGAAATCAGAATGCCCTTATGAATCTGCCAAGGAGCAACCATTTCTAACAGACTTGCACTGCCTCCTTGGCTATCCTTGGTTGATCCACAAGGTTTCGCGACATCTTGCAGGACAGGCGGACAGGGTCGGGGAATGCCCCATATTGAAAGTGACTGGGTTCCTAATCGTTACTAAAGACGTATTACATGACTGCTGTCTGTCTTTGCTGACAAGTTGAATAAGATAAGATGGTAAGGTCGAGAATCCTTGGTGGGACAGACTTTGGAGGCGTGGATCGTGGCAGAACCTACCATCCGCTCACCGTCTCTTGGTCCAATGGTTGTTGTCACTGCGAGTACCATGACTTGGCCGAGAGAATTGTCTTGAGACCCAGTCAATTGTCGAGTCTGTTTGCGCCGTCGACCGCTGGTGGTAGGATGACAGCGTGTGCAATGAGACCGGCTGAATCTAGGCCTCAGGAAGAGTGCCCGAGCTTGGTGCGAAGGCGGTGGCAGAACAGGTGGCCAGCCCAACCACGGTGAAGAGAGAAGGCGGTCATGATGAAGTCCTGCTCTTCTTCCCCACCTTTCATTCATCCTCTCTTTCTCTTGACCTTCTTCATCCTACTCCTTTCCCCTTGACTTCAACCCTGTTCACCACCAGAAATACCACTTTCAATCAAGTTCATCTCTCCAAAGCCATCATGTCGACTTCGGCTCGCAGACGTCTGATGCGCGATTTCAAGCGGATGCAGACCGACCCTCCCGCGGGCGTTTCGGCTTCCCCAGTAGCAGACAATGTCATGACCTGGTAAGTTGAAGCTTGGAGCTCCATTTACCATGCGTTTATGAGCTTCTCTCCTATAATGCTGGTCGAGGACGGAATGGACGGTTAGGTGGCTGGCCATTTTGTTTGCCTCCTCCATTCGGATCGTCCCGTATCAGTCTTATCATTAACCCGTTGCTGCTCGATTTCACATCCCGGTTGGTCTATACCTGTGCTAATGGGCGTCTGATAGGAATGCCGTCATCATTGGCCCTGCCGATACCCCGTTTGAAGATGGCACATTCCGTCTGGTCATGCATTTCGAAGAACAGTATCCCAACAAACCTCCCGGAGTGAAGTTCATTAGCCAGATGTTCCACCCCAACGTGTATGGCACTGGCGAGCTGTGTCTCGACATTTTGCAAAATCGCTGGAGCCCGACCTACGATGTGGCGGCCATTCTCACGAGCATCCAGAGGTACGCCCTTCTGTTCTTTCCCAATAATCCAACCCTTTCACCATCTATGCTTCGGGTACTAATGTCGAGTGTAGTCTTCTGAATGACCCCAACACGTCATCTCCAGCCAACGTGGAAGCCTCGAATCTGTACAAGGACAACCGCAGGGAATACGTCAAACGCGTGCGGGAGACGGTGGAGAAGAGCTGGGAGGATTGAGATGTCAGGCTGGTTGTGTGGTTTACACTCCTGACCGTTGTTTTTCGCACGTTTATCATGAAGCGCGGCTGTTCCGGGAAGACATTTGATGGCGGGACGGATATGATCGATGGCATACCATAGCTTGGAGTTTCGGCACTGGGATTTTCTACTGTTCTCTTGTTCGGCGTTTCTTCAATCAATATTAGGACCACTCGCATGGATTGCTCCGATCGATGTGCATAATGCAAGGGCTTGTTTTGTTTCCCCCTCTTGTCATGATTGACCCCGCAGTGTGGATGGGGGATTTTGAAACCGACTTGGCGTTTTGGGCCTGGTTGTGCCCTGGTCATTCGATCAGCAATCAACTGCCAATACACAATAGCATGGAAAACAATAAATAATCAATAGTTTTCGACCAGAAGTAGACCAGGACGAGCGAGGGTTTCAGAGCTGGTTTAGTGGCCGCCAAGACAGGCTCTAACGGTTCGTGCCTCCTGCCACTGCCGACTGACCGATAGTAGTCTGAACACCACAATTAACCTCTGTTTCTCTGTCATTTCTTGCTGGGTCTGTTGTTTTCCCAGTGTTCTCCAATTTGAGTGTGGTGTTGATAAGTTTGATTTTATTATTCTTCGTGTCCTGGTTTCTGTTTCCCCTCCATACTCCATTCTTCCCCTCTGTTTTCCCACTCAGTTACCGCCCTGGCACGTGGACCCCTGACCCAAAACACCACATCCCATCGCGACCTCGAAGACTCGATCATCCCCTCCGCTGGAACTGTGTGTCACAACCTGTTCTTTTCCCCCCGGGGTTGCCTTATCGACTCTTTCTTTATTTCCCCTCTTTAGGCCCGCCCATCTCGGGTCAGTGTCGACATGGCGTGAGTATTCCTGACGGACTTCCCCTCCTTCTTGGCTCGGGCTAATGACGGTGCGGTGTGCAGGTCATCTGGCCCTAACACCATCAAGGGTATGTTCCTCGATTCGATCCGGTGAGACGCTCCGAGTCAAGAGCTAATTGCGCCCTCAGTGGTTGCGAGGTTTCGACCCCAGAATAAAATCGAACTGTCCTCGGGAGGCACACCCATCGTCGAGTTCCAGAATGAGCAGTCATGTACAGTCACGGTATGATGCTCATGCAGACGCCCAATTCCCAGTGGAACTAACCCCGAATCCAGTCCAGGGAAGGCAGTGGTGCCTTCACCTTCGACCGTGTGTTTCCCATGGGCACCGAACAAACCGACGTCTTCGATTTCTCCATCCGACCGACCGTCGACGACATCCTGAATGGCTACAACGGGACCGTCTTCGCCTACGGTCAGACCGGTGCCGGTAAATCGTACACGATGATGGGTTCCGACATCGACGACGACATGGGCAAGGGTCTCATCCCGCGAATCGTCGAGCAGATCTTCGCCAGCATCCTCATCAGCCCCAGCAATATCGAATACACCGTCCGCGTCAGCTATATGGAAATCTACATGGAACGGATCCGCGATCTGTTGGTCCCGCACAACGACAACCTGCCCGTCCACGAGGAAAAGTCCCGCGGTGTCTACGTGAAGGGTCTACTCGAGGTCTATGTGTCCAGCGTCCAGGAGGTTTACGAGGTCATGCGACGCGGTGATGCGGCGAGAGCGGTGGCCGCGACCAACATGAACCAGGAGTCGTCCCGGTCCCACTCCATCTTCGTCATCACCGTCACCCAAAAGAATCTGGAGACAGGCTCCGCCAAGAGCGGTCAGCTCTTCTTGGTCGATTTGGCGGGTAGTGAAAAGGTCGGCAAGACCGGTGCCAGCGGTCAGACGCTGGAGGAGGCGAAGAAGATCAACAAGAGTCTGAGCGCCCTGGGCATGGTCATCAATGCCCTCACGGACGGCAAATCCTCGCACGTTCCCTACCGTGACTCCAAACTCACCCGTATTCTCCAAGAAAGTTTGGGAGGTAACTCGCGGACCACCCTGATCATCAACTGCTCGCCCAGCAGCTACAACGATGCGGAGACCGTCTCGACGCTGCGCTTCGGTGTGCGCGCCAAGGCCATCAAGAACAAGGCGAAGGTCAACGCCGAGCTGAGTCCGGCGGAATTGAAGATGCTGCTCCGCAAGGCGCAGACCCAGGCCACCAGTTTCGAAACCTACATTTCTGCATTGGAGTCCGAAGTCACCGTGTGGCGCAAGGGCGAAAACGTCCCCAAGGAACGATGGACCCCCGCGCGCGGGTTGGACTTGGTGGGTGTGGCCAAGGCCGAGGCCCGTCCGCCGCGACCCAGCACCCCGTCCCGACTGCAGGACACGCCGCGATCCGAAACCCCGCGCCCAGACTCGCGCATCGGCGACCGCTCCAGCACGCCCAGCCTGGTGCTCGAGAAGGACGAGCGGGAGGAGTTCCTCCGGCGCGAGAACGAACTGCAGGATCAGATTGCCGAGAAAGAATCGCACATTGCCAACGTGGAACGGGGGCTGCTCGACGCCCGGGAGGAGCTTCGCTCGATGAAGGAGAACTCGGCGCGCTCGGGCAAGGACAATGACAAGCTCAACACGGAGATCAACGAGCTGCGGATGCACCTGGAGAAGGTGACCTACGAGAGCAAGGAGGCCTCCATCACCATGGACAGCCTCCGGGAAGCCAATGGCGAACTGACGACGGAGCTCGACGACGTGAAGCAGCAGCTGCTCGATGTGCGGATGAAGGCCAAGGAGACGACCGCCGCGCTCGACGAGAAGGAGAAGAAGAAGGCCGAGAAGATGGCCAAGATGATGGCCGGGTTTGACCTGGGCGGCGACATCTTCTCCGACAACGAACGGAAGCTCCAGGACCTCATTCAGCGCGTCGATGCGCTCCACAGTGTCAGCGAAGCCGGCGAAACGATCGCCCCCGATGACATCGTGGAACTGCGGGCGAGCCTGCTGGAGACCAAGGGGTTCATCCGGCAGGCCGAGCTCACCATGAACGACCGCGGGGAACTGAGCGAGCTGCAGGACAGCCGGCGGGCGGATCTCGAGCAGAAGCTAGACGATCTCAAGCGCGAGTACGAGCAGCTGCTGGAGCGGACCCTGGGCGAGGAGGACACGGGCGAGATCCGGGACCGCCTGGAGAAGGTGTACATCACGCGCAAGGAGGCCGAGATGCAGGCGGTGACGGAGCTCCGCGAGGAGATTGGCCGTAAGGACGAGGAGCTGCAGAAGCTGCGGCAGTCCCTGGCCGATTCGCAGTCGCGCGTGTCGACCAACGGGGCGGCGGGCAAGAACCTGCAGCAGCAGATCTCCGAGTTCGACGCCATGAAGAAGTCCCTGATGCGGGACCTTCAGAACCGCTGCGAGCGCGTGGTCGAGCTGGAGATCTCGCTGGACGACGCCCGGGAGCAGTACAACAACGTGCTGCGGTCGTCGAACAACCGCGCCCAGCAGAAGAAGATGGCCTTCCTCGAGCGAAACCTCGAGCAACTGACCCACGTACAGCGGCAGCTGGTCGAGCAGAACAGCAGTTTGAAAAAAGAGGTTGCGATCGCTGAGCGGAAGCTCATTGCCCGCAATGAGCGTATTGCTAGCTTGGAAGGCCTGCTCCAGGAGAGCCAGGAGAAACTCACCCAAGCGAACCACCGGTAAGCCCCCCCCCCCCCCCCCTTCTTTAGTACCGGAAGTAGAGGACATGCTAACAGTCACAACAGTTTTGAAGCCCAACTCACCGCGGTCAAGGAGAGACTGGAGGCTGCAAAACAAGGCTCCACCAGGGGTCTTCCAACTATGGATAGCGGCGGCGGTTTCAGTTTTGGCGGCTCGCGAATTGCGAAGCCGCTTCGGGGAGGCGGCGGAGGATCCGAGAGCAGTGCTCCGGTTGCTGGAGTCCAGTCGCAGGAGACGGGCAAACGCACGAGCTGGTTTTTCGATCGACGATGATCCACGATTTCTCTTCTGTTGTCTTTTCTATCCATTCTCCGAAAATACTTGATCACTCTTCCTGTCTATCTGTTTTTTCTTCTTGATGACTGTTTTCTTGTCTCCCTTTTCCCCCTTTTGTTCCATTTTCCTTCACTGGTATATTAGATCGAGTGCCCGCCGATATCATATCGAGGCGCCAATGGCTCTCACCGATACCCATGTACATGATGATAGACCCGGGGATGAGTAGCTGGAAGGTTAACGCTAGATACGTTATGCAATACAGGAGACACGATTCACATGCTACTGGATCTGATAGGCCGTCAGTACTACAGTATACTCCCTGACATCTAGGCTTGGGGCTGGACACCTAGGGTCTATTGAGGGTCGCCCCTACAACCCCGGGCGGTTAGGGATGGTTTAGGGATGGTTCAGGGACCAGCTGCCCCGGGACTTTCTGTCTAAAAGGGTACAGATCACGTGATCATATTCAGGAACGGCATACTAGGATACGGAATGCACTTAACCCAAAGGAGTATCCAGCTTCAAGCTTCAGTCCGGCATCCTGGCATCCAATCCATAAGAGTACATACCCATTGTTTGTTCCCCTTGTCATGACAAACAGAGCGGCGCCACAATAAGCCTACTGCACAATGCCGAATCCCGCAGCAGTGGAACTGCAGCTCTCCCCTTCCTGCTACAACTGCCTATCATGGTCCGCAGACGGCGAACTGGCCATGGCAGCCGGCGAATACGTGCAAATCCTAGTAAGCGCACGCAACCACAACCAACCAAGACCACCCTACTCACATTCACACAGACACCCCGACTCCCAACCCAAGGAGGCAAAGAAAACTCAAGCCTCCCAGGCAAAGCCAACACCTGGCACGTCACGCGCATCCGCGTCAATCTCTTCGCCAACAAAGAATGGCCAACCATCTTCCCGCAGAAAAACGAGCACTTCTCCATCGGGCCCGAGCAGTCCCTCAGCACAGTCGTCGGGCTATCATGGTCACCGCCGGGACTGGCTCGGTACCGGCGGTGTGCGCTAGCCGTGCTAACGTCCAATTTACTGCTCTCGCTGTACGAGCCGGGAGCCAAGGGGAAGTGGAAGCGCGTTGCGATCATTAACGCCGCGCTGAAGCCGCATTTCCAGTCTTTTGTCAAAGATGGGGGTCTTTGTTTGCGGAAGACGTATATTCGCTCGTTTGCGTGGGCTCCGCCGTTGAAGGTGTCTGGGGGTGCGGAGGGAGCTGCGTATTCTGTCCCGGGGGCTGAGGCGCGATGGGGGGTTCAGGTCTTGGCGGTTACTAATGATGATAATGACTTGATTTATTTGCAGGTACGGCGGTCGAAGGGGGAGGGCGGAGGGGAGGATGGGTATTCTGTTAAGATGTTGGGTCTTAGCTCGCTGCATGATGCGGAGGCGAGTGGCGGGTTGGTACAGGGTGGTTCGCTTTTCTCTGCTGCTCTTAGAGCGCGGGTTAGAGCATTGCATACGGCCTTTGGGCCGTGGGTTTATAGGCCTTTGGATGGGGGGGATGGTGAGGGTGGTGTTTGCTCTGCTACTGCGAATATAGCGGTGCTGTACGGCTCGAAAGTGAAGATACTTAAGCTGGATGTGACGTTAGCGGGGGATGAGACATCTGACCCAGAGTGGGGATACAGCTCGTCGGCTGTCTCGACTGAGAATGCCCTTCTGTACGGTGAACAGGACAATGCTTGCCAGTACACTGGGCCTTTACGGTGGATACACTCGGTAAGTGGGATGCTGTTTCCGCTAACATTGTCTAACGCTCTATAGAATGGATCTGAACATATGCACCTTGCTGTGGGTGCCATGGCGAAAGTTATAACTCTTTCATTCCCGTGGGAAGCATATGCAGGAACCGCGACATCTGGCGATGTACAGGTCCGGGAGTGGCCGCTCGCCGATGAAGGAACAGGAGAGCACAGCGAGTCAAGAAGCTGGGAGCCTATCAGCGGTAAGTCCCCCGGTTCATCCTTGGACTTCACTAAGTATACACAGGCATGATCACCACCTTTGACGAATCCACCCACCTGTCTACCCTGCACATTGGGACAGTGGGAGGATTATCCGCCATGGCCGAGTTTAGAGACACCCCCGACGAAGGACCATTACATTCCCCACTCTGGAAAAACCAGCTAGACGACGTCCGAGAGCGATTCGACCTCGATTGTGACCTGGGCGGCTTAGCCATTGCCAGGGTCTGGGGCCTCGCCTCTCACCGCGGACTCGCCGCGGCAGCGATCACCCTGCATCCCGGAGACATGGTGGACTACCGCACGACGTCGGGGGAGCGTACATCGATCGTGTTCTCCCCAGCCAGTCTGCAGCCACCCAACAACGAGCTATCGATCAGCGGGCAGTCTCCAATCGACCTATCGCCTGGATTCCTACAGACAAAGCGAGAGACTGTATTGGGATACATACTCTTCTCCTACGACAAAGACACCAATACCTTCCCTTGGAGTCAAAGCCTCCTCTACGCAGCAGCATGCTGCACAGCCGTGGGATCCCGAAACCAAGACCTCCTCTCGCAAGCCAAGCACACCCTGGAATGGCTAGCCGCCGCAGCAGAGGTCGACCTAACCGAGGAAATATCGACATGCTCTACCCCCGGAGGGAAGATCAAAGCAAGGTCCACAGAGCAGCTCGACGAGTCGGAAAATACCATGTTCGAAGTATGCACTATATGCGATGCAGGCATTGGGTGGCATTCGCCGCAGGAAGCACAGTGCGCTAGTGGGCATCTTTTCGGTATGCAGTCTTTGCCACGGGGATATATCATATTACATGCTAACCTATTTGACCTGATAGTCCGGTGTGGCCTCACCTTCATGGCCATCCAAGAGCCAGGGTTATCGAAGTTCTGTTCCCTGTGCGGAGCAGAATATCTCAGCGAAGACATGCTCGACGAGGGGAGCGATTTCGCAGATGAGTGCCGGAGGCTGGCGACTGTGTTTGACACGTGCGTTTACTGTCAGGGGAAGTTTCTCGCTTAGGGCTATCTTTCTTTCTTTTATTATTTTCAGTTACAGAGGGATAGACACGCGTTATGCTGGGTGCAACCCCAGCAGCTTCCCGGCTACGGGGTTCCACTCGTCGTCCCAGCGACGGTTACTCTCTTCGAGCGCACCAGTGCGCAAGGTCTCCAGCTTCGACGGGTCCCCGAACAGCTCGACGAGTTGTTCGACCAGCTGCTCAGAGCTACCGAATCCCTTCCCGTTCAGACCCTCCGTCACGAGCTCAGGCCACGCCTCGAAGCGGTTCCAGCCCACGACGGGCAAACCAGCGCCGAACATATCGACTACTTTCATGGGCAGGTCGACGCCGCTGCTACTAGTGTGCAGACTGACGCCCAGCGACGCGGACGCTAGGAGTTGTGCATAGTCGGGTGTGCTCAGCCATGCAGTGCGGATAGTGACGTTCTCGAGCTTTCCTGCTTTCTCGAGTTCCGCGATCTGGTTCACGTACATTTCCTTCTGTGGGCCTTTGCCTGTTATGATCGCCAGTACGGGCGGTAACCCCGGGTTGGCGGTTCTTGACAGCTCTGAATAGCGGCAGAGGGCGTCGATGAGAAGGGAGAAGTCTTCGTCTGCGGTCCAGGAGGTCGAGCTGACGAGTACTCGAATCTGTCCGGAGAGTATGAGCGGCCGCACCGATTGTGCTTCCGGGAGTGCGGCGAGGAAATCCCGTCGGGCGTTCACATCCTCGATGGGTCGGAGATGGCTAGCAGGTCGATCATGCAGAGGGAGGACAGGAGCCTGGAGACGGAAATCCTTCCTCAAAACGGACGCCATGGCGGATGTGACACACAGATGCGCCGTCGCAGACCTGCAGAATCTCCGCTCATACCATTTCGAAAAGCGCACGAGCGGATGTCCATCTCCGAGTTTCAGCGCCAGGATCGTGTATCCGAAATTATGCCAGTCGATGACCAGGAACGTCTGGCGCAGGAAGCACACCGCAGACGCGATGGCCAGGGAGGGGATGGACGGGGGGTTCTGAACGAGGAGCCACTTGGCGGGTTTGGTGCGGTATGCCAATGCCGTCCACAGACAAGCGACTTGGAAGAGAACCTTCAACGGGGCGAAGAGCAGGAAGAGAAGCTTGTTGCTGGTTTGTAGGTAGGCGGGGTGCGGGGGGAGGGCGACGATGGCGATTCGGGGGTGGGATGAGATGTCGGGGTGGAGTTCGGATTCTATAATAAACCATCAGATCAGCTCTATGATTCAATGTCATCTTCTTAAGACTGGAACTCACCGTGATATCCGATTATGTCGACTTGACCCCCTCCGCGGGCGATGCTGAGCGCGTGGTACTGCATGCGCGGACTGCGACCGATGTCGCCCAGGACGAGGATCTGGGCGGTTGTTCTTGGTTCATCTTTCGTGGTAGACTCATCTTTCGCGGTCGACCGATCGGCGCCATATTGCGATGGGAGCAAGCAGATGAAGAGGGTTATGGCGGTGGAGATGTAGAACGCGATGCTGATGATGGTTTCGATCATGGTGAGATTTCGTTAAAGGAATAGTCTGGAATAGAGGAAATGCTTCAGAGCCATATCATGACAAGTACCCGCCCATACTCAGACCAATGAACCGTAGACGCCGCAATGGACTGCACTGGAGAGTGTGAAGCTGTTGGCGATGTGAAGCCATCCGTAATGACGGAGAAACATGGACCGAGGCAGACTGATACCTCCGTTCTCAGGCAGCGACAGTGGGCCATCACGTGCGTTATCAGCCCCCTCAGGATCGACAAGTCCGGGGCTATCTCAAGCCTATCTCAAGTCCTCCTCAACCCCGTTCATCACCCTCGACGCGCAAGGTCCCCTCGCTCGAATCGCCGTGTTCGCGCTATGCTGTGTGGTTTGTTTCAATCGCCCGGTCGCTTGTCTGTTGGCTATTAATCCCAACCTCCTGCTCAACCTGTCGCGTCCTATCGTCCCTCCTAGATCCACTCAACAACTCGTCGAACATCACCAAGCGGAGAATATGTCAACGGGGCCTACCGTGTCCGCGTCGGATACGCACGCCCCTGCTTTTCCCAGCCAGAGTCTTGGACACAGTCGTGGTCGTGGCCATGGTCATTCGCGGTCGAGTCGCTCGCACACCCCTATCTCCCACACGGTTACTGCCTCGGATGTCTCTCAACAGCCATTGACGGGCATTGGTATCGTCAATGGTCATATCCCGGATGCCAATGGCCACGGACATCATCATAATCACTCCCATTCGCATTCGCACGCCCATTCGCATTCACATGGCCATTCACACTCCCACCCCCACTCCCACTCCATCCACGACGGGCATGGGTCGCACGCCCATGGGAATAGCCTGGGTGGCTACGGGGTGAAACCCGTCGCGAATGTAACGGGGATATTTGAGGAGGCCACCATTGCGGCAGAGTCTCAGGAGCCAAAAAGGTAGGTGATTTCACTGGGTGAATGAGCAATACTAACGTGTCCAGCCGAGAAATCCTCGCCGGTATCCTCCTAGCCCTCCCGTGGATCGTCCTGTCCTGGTACCATGGCCACTATGCGCAGTGGCAGATGTCCAAGGCTACTCCTGACGACCCCGTCGCTCCAGTCATCGGCAGCGGAAACATGATCGGCACCACAGGGAAAGCGTCCATGCTGACAGCCGTGACGATGGTTATGCTGGGATGTGGCCAGCTGGCGCTGCGGGGGGGTAACACGGGAGCATTGAAGTTGGGCGCTGCGACGGGTGGTGCTGCGGTCAAGCAGTTGTGCTCGATTGCGCTTCCGGTTTATGCCGCGTTGCAGGTGGGCAGCTTCCTTGTCGCGATGGTTCTACCGCTTGCGCTCGCCTCGGGGATGCCGACCATTCCAACCTCCGGCAGTGCCCACGGGCGGCTGAGCCAGAAGAAGTTCACTGCCGTGTTCATTCTGGGTGCGGTTACGTTGTGCTTTACTGGATTTAACACGACCTGGAACCGGAACCCGGTTCTGGGTTACGTGTGTCTGCTGCTCTCGGTGTTTGCCATCCATCCGCCTTTTCTCGGGCAAGTGCTGGGATCTGACAATAAGCTTGCACCTAATGCGGTCGCCCACCCTGTCGCCACGGTCGTGCTCGGCGTCGTGCTTGCAGTCGGTACGGCTGTCTTTTCCACGGCCCTGTCCTTCGGGGCTGTGGATTTGGGGTACCTCTTGGCCGCGGCGGGTTCCATGGCGGTGTGCTTCACATATCTCGCACCCGTAGATATGCACTCGCCGCGGAAACTCGGCCTCGTTGTCGCAACCGGAAGTGCTGCTCTGTTGTGCTCCCCGCCGCCGCAGAGCGAGGTGTACTTAATCTATATTTCGCGGGCCATCCTCAGTGCAGCGGCTGTCTTTGCGGCTATGCTAGACAACCGGACCGCACATCACGCCCACACCCACGATCACTCACCTGCGCAGGCCTCTCGATGGACGAAGTTCATCCTCCGCCACAGCGAGCCGTACCCGCTGCTCTACAGCATCCTCAAGGAGAGCGATTCGCGCCGCATCTTCTACTTTATGGCGTATGTATGCTCCGCCCCGTATGCCGGCACTGGCTAATTGAGCAGTCTCAACTTTTCCTTCATGCTGGTGCAACTCTGCTACGGGTTTTTGACCGGGTCGCTTGGGCTGCTGAGTGACAGCATTCACATGTTCTTCGACTGTCTTGCGCTGGTCGTGGGTCTCTGTGCGGCCGTCATGAGCAAGTGGCCGCCGAATGCGCGGTTCCCGTACGGATACGGCAAGGTCGACACGCTGTCGGGGTTTGCCAATGGTGTTTTCCTCATGTACGTACCGTCCCTGCATTATCCCTGGCTTTACTGACTGGCTCGCAGGATCATCAGCATCGAAATCATCTACGAGGCCGTGGAGCGACTATCTACAGGCAGCCACATGCACCGAATCGGCGAGCTCCTAGCGGTCAGTTCAGCAGGCCTGCTAGTCAACCTAGTCGGCATCATGGCATTTGACCACGGGCACGCGCATCACGGACACGACCACGGCCACTCACATGGCAACGAGAACATGCACGGCATCTTCCTCCACATCCTAGCAGACACGCTAGGCTCAGTAGCGGTGGTCATCTCAACGCTGCTGGTGCATTACTCCGGCTGGGCGGGATACGATCCCCTCGCGTCGTGTCTGATCGCGATCTTGATCTTCGCGTCGGCAGTGCCGCTTGTCAGCAGCACGGCCAAGAGGTTACTTCTGACGCTGCCGGCGGACGTGGAGTATACCGTGCGCGAGACGTTAGCAGGGGTTAGCACCCTTCGGGGAGTGGCGGGGTATACGGTGCCGAAGTTTTGGCTAGACGATACGGCAGCGACGTCGGATGATGGGCATGGACATGGGCATGGACATGGGCATGGACATGGGCATGGACATAGTCATGGGCACGGGCATTGCCACGATCATCAGGATCACGACCACCACCATCATGACCACCATGACCACCATCATGACCATCACGACCATGACCACGACCACAACCACAGCCAAAACGTGCTAGGCGTCATCCACGTGATCGCCTCCCGCAGCGCCGAGCTCGAAGATGTGCGACAGCGGACAGTCGACTACCTCCGCGCCAAAGGAATGGACACGCTGGTACAGGTTGAACGCGAGGGGGATGCACGATGTTGGTGTGGTGGGGGGAATAAGGGGTCTCTGCTGTAGATGGCTGTACTGTAACTAGCATAAGATATTGGATGTAACTATATAAAATATATTGTATAGGATATTGGATATAGGACGTGAGACTTATAGTTATAGGACCAGAGGAAGGTTGTATTGTATGGGCACGTGGCGGAGACCCACGTGGGTATCCCGATATCATATCAACGCGCAGAATGATAGAGTGAAATCAACAGATCAAGACGTCTTCAATCACCTCCTGTCATGTCATATCCAATATACAACCTACAAAGCACCAACCTATACACACCATCTCTATTCTCTTCTCCAATCGCCAAGATAACCAACTCAATCTTACAAATCATCCCCACATAAAACCCAACAATCAACCATCGAAACAAGAATAAAGCCGAGACCCGAGCGGGGCGTTCATAAAAAACCCAGCAAAATACGAAAACGAGGACCAATCACATATATTAGCGAGGCTGTTTTATACCTGTTGGTCTGGATAAAGTGGGTCCATCAGGAGGAAACTGATAGACTAAGGCAGTCAGAGCGGAGGCACTAAATTATTACGATCGTGGGTGATTATCTTGGTGCTGGGTATATTATGTGATGGATCTCGCTGCCTTCTTGGAGTTGCGATTGTTGAGGGATTGTTTTCATTCTTTTTCTGTCTTTTTCTTCTGTACAGCTCGGTTTGGGTGGTCTCTTTCTTTCTTTCTTTTTATACTAATATATCTACACCGCTACATAATACACGACATCAGGGCAAGGCAGCAGCCTTATCTCACCCTCCCCACGCTCTTTCCTCACCACTCAGCCCCATTACACATTAAAAACCGGAGAAAACACAATGAGCTTCGCAACCTGCACCGAAGTCACCCCCCTCTGCCCCGTCGAAGCCACCACCTACGGCTACTACCCGAACTACGGCGGCAACATCTTCTTCGCGGTCTTCTTCGGCGTCTGCGGGTTGACCCAGCTCGGCATAAACATCTACTTCCAAGCATGGACGCTCGCAGTCGCCCTCGTGGGAGGATCCCTCCTCGAAATGGCGGGCTACATCGGACGCGTCCTCATGCACGACAACCCGTGGCACTCTGGCGCGTTCAAGCTGCAGATTGTGACTCTTATTCTCGGGCCGACGTTCGTGGCGGCTGCCGTGTATCTCACGCTGAAGCATATCATGCTGGCATTAGGGCCGCACCACGCGCGGCTGCGGCCGCAGCTGTTCACGTGGGTGTTTATCGGGTGTGATATCGGGTCTCTAGTCCTGCAAGCTGCAGGCGGTGGTGTCGCTGCCGGAGCAGGGAACACCGACCAGGAGTTGTTGAAAATCGGAGACGATATCATCATCGCGGGTATAGCGTTCCAGGTTGCTACGATGGGGGTGTGCGGGGTGTTGGGGGTGGAATTCTTTATCAAGGTGTGGAGGAGTAAGAAGGTGGATGATGAGGCGGGGGGGTATAAGGTTCGCTGGATGGGGTTGGTTATTGCGGCGGAGGTGTTTGCCTATTTCACGGTGTTGATTCGGTGTATTTATCGGTTTGTTCCTCCTTTCTCTTGGTCCCTTCTGGTGGGGGTGATGTGGGTGATTGATCGACTGACTGATGTGTGTATAGACTCCCTGAAATGGCCGGCGGATGGGGAAACCCGCTCATGCAAAAGGAGAATGAGTTTCTGGTGCTGGATGGGATGTATGTCTTCCTCTTTCTCTTCATCTCTTACCTCGGTGTGAATGCATACTAATGAATGGCAGGATGATTGCTCTGGCTGTGGGATCCCTGACACTCGTTCACCCCGGGTTCTTCCTCGCGACGCTGCAGAAGGGAAAGAAGAGTATGATCGTTCCGTGAGCAGATATAGTTGGCTTGATATAGATGTATATAATATAGCTGTAGATATCGATTCGTTTCGACTAGTGTTATTATATCTTGGTAGTAAATCTCCAGTAGAACTTGGAAGTGAACCTGGAAAGAAATGGCAGTGAACTTCTTATGTAGAGAGATATACCCACAAATCACCCACATATTCAACCGCAAGATCAACCGATCCTGTACAGCCCACGGTAACTCCACCGAGAACACCCAAGCAAATGAAAGAATGAAATGAAGGAATCAAAAAGACAGAAAATGCCAACAAACAAGACAGACGCCAACCCTACCGATGGACATATCCACCATGCACAGATCAACTCGCTAAAGCCACCGCGTCTGAAGGACAACCCGGTATGGCCCGGTGGACAGTAGAAAGAACGAAAGCAAATCAACAATCAATCAGTCAATCAGAAAAAGAGAATAATGATAATCACTCCTCTCCCAAACTATCCCGCACACATTTCCTCGCCCTCTTCTTAAACTCCTTCGGATCCTCCCTCCACATACGCGCAGCCTCCACATTCGCAGGACTCTCATCATTCGGGCTCGACAGCATGGAGATAACCGACAAAAGGATCGACTCCGGCGTCTGAACAGGCGACCAGCGCTCGGCGGCGGACTCGTAGCCGTATTTGTCTTCCTCTGGGGGGTGCAGGATGGAGATGCAGACGTCGCCGTTGGGGTAGACTGTACTTGTTATAAGCGAACCATCCTTTATATGCATTTCTCTGACCGGCTTGGGTCTATATTCTGGGGCGAACTCGCGGGGCAAACTGCGTACCGTTGGGGTGGAAAATCGCCGGCTCGAATTTCATCTTGGGTGGCATGTGGGGGTACTCCGGGGGGAAGGAGAGACGTGCTCGGAAGAAGCCTCCTATAAACCTCCTATCAGTACTCATTCTTTCTCTTCTCTTCTTCTCTTCTTCTCTTCTTCTCTTTATCTCTCTTCTCTCTCCCCGCCTCTCGGTCTGGATAATCAGTGGCAACAGGATAACCCACCCCCGTATAACTTAACATCGTCCGAAATCATAAGCATCACCTCCCACTCAAAAACATTACTATCGACCAGTCCGCAGCTGATCCCGGGGATATCCTTGTCGGATTGCATTTGCTGGAGCTGGCGGGACAGCATGCGGCCGGCTGCGGTTGTGGCCATGGTGGGTAGACCGTGTTGACGCGACGGTTGGTTACCTCGAGGGGGGTGAGGTGAGTATTTAGTTTGAAGTGTAGATGTGAGTGAGGGAGTCGAGAATGAGGAGATGAGAGGAGAATGAGGGAGAGACGAAACGAATGAGTGAATGAGAATGAGGGGCCTGAGGCTGGGCGGTGAGGGCGGAGCGGGGTCGACTTTGTGGTCCGGACAACTTCTGCCCACGTGAGAATATAACATCAACAGTCAACGGACTACTACTACTACTACTACTACTTCTTCTTGGGTGATATCCTGTGGATGATGGTATCCTGCTTGCAAGCTATAATCATTATGGTCAACGTCCATACATCCCCAATTCTAATACCAATATCCAATCTGTGACGCAACTAATCGAGCAGCATTCCCAATACACTGCATAGTGGGTTGCAATATCTTCGGAGAAATATCTTATACGTGGAAAGATATTGCATCCACACGAACATCTAAGCCTTATCGCCAAACTTGACGCCTCCGCTAATCAGCACGGCGCACAACGCCGCCACATAGACAAACGCAAAGGCAAACATGATGGCGAAGCCCTTGGCAATAGCCTTGACGTAGCGGATGCGGGCGGCGCGGTCAAACGTCCGCCAGGCATCGGCGATTCCCAGTTTGCCGCTGCCCCCGAGGATGGCGGGGACCACTTTGCCGCCGAAGGAGCGATCGAAGGGCACAATGGCCTCGTGGTCCTCCGGGAGCATAGACGCCGCCACACGGACGAAGATCGCACGGGCGGGGATAGACACCAGGAACGAGAGCAAGGCCGGACCAGAGAAAGATGCGGCGGCGCGGGCGTACGCGCCGGAAGTGCGGATATCAAAGTTAGCCGGGTCGTCGAGGCCGCTGAAGCCGCAGGTGACCATCATGGGCAGATAAAAGGCGCCCAGGGTGACGGCGTACTCGAACACCGCGACGGGGACGATGCGGTTCCAGTCCCTGAGGCTGGGGATGCGCTGGTAGAAGCGCTTGGACGAGGGCTCCGAGATGACGATGTGCACCCAGGCCATCTGCAGGTTGGCGGTCAGGACGGCGACGACCATGTTGATCGCGAACTGGCCGAGGAAGCTGCTGGCGACGGCGAAGGGGAAAAAGGCCGTGATGAAGCCCGGAGCGGCCATGCAGAGGAGGGCCATGCTGAAGCCGCGGAAACGCGACCGGAAGCCGCCCCGCGAGCGCAGATGACGGAGCGTGCTGCGCAGGCTGCGGGTGACGGGAGCGGGACGAAAAATGTCCTCCGGCTCCGGGGCGTTGGGGTCGGCCGATTTGTTGGCGTCGGGGTCGGTGTCGATGCGGACGTACAGATCGGGGTCGGTCTGCTCGACGGCGGCCAGGGTGGGGACGACCCATCCGTAGGTGTATTCAATCTAGACCATCAGTTTGATATCATCGATTCATCAGAGGGAGAACCTACTGCACCAGCCAGCACAAAGAACACAACCACGCTGAGAACAACCAGGGCAGCCAGCCATCCGGCGATTTTGATATCAGGCTGCTGGTCCTTGTCCTTCATCTCGGCGACGAACTCGGTGCCCCGACGGAGGAGGACACTTCCCAGAACCATGATGGCGATTCACGGGCCGATGAACTGATGGATGGAAATAAAACAGAAGACAAAATGATGATGATCCAGGAATTCGATGATGATAAAGGAGTTGAAAAGGGAAGGAAGATGAGAACGATGCGGCGACAAAGAAGAAGAAGTTCAAGACCAGGCAGGGTTGCAGCCTAAGTCATAACTGAGGCAACCATGGGGCTGAGCGCCATCGGAGCCAATCAGAGCGAGGCGGAGGGGCGATGCGGGGATCCGATAGGACAGAGCCGTTGATGCCTTCGCGCCCGGTTGCCTCAGTCACATCTCACGTCAGATCAATGTCTCGGAGTCTGGCCTAGATAGTAGGAGACTAACAGGCAGTATACTGGAAAGGAGGCAGTAGGTACATCAATATCGGGTATTTCGTAGGACTCGGTAAGGTACCGACATGTGGGTCTACGCGGACAGGAACAATCATACAAATCCATTCGTGATCCCTACACAAAAACATCAAGTCTATGACATGAACACGGGATATCCGGGCTGGCCAAAATGCTCACAAAATCTCTAAACAGGACTGAAATATATAACATGCAAGAATAAAAAAAAAATAAAGGAAAAGAAAAGAACGCCGTGGTCAAGATAAACAGAGAAAAAGAAATGATACAGATCGATCTATTCGTCGAACATCTTCTTCATGAACTTGTGGGCGATCTCCACACCGGCGCTGTTTTCCGTTAGCAATCGTTCTCTACAGCAATCAGAATTGAACATGGAAGTGGACTCACAAAGTAGCCGCGTTGGCGGGCACGGCACGACACAGAGCGGGCCCGAAGCCGGGGAAGAAGGCCTTGAGACCACCGTTGCCGTAGACGGCGCGGATGGTGCCGCTGATGGTGGGGCGACCGGGGTCACTCTGCAGGCGCGACTTGATGGTGTCGACGGGGAAGACGGGGATCCACATGGCCACACCGGCGGCACCACCGGCCGCCAGGACGGCGGGCATGGACAGGTCACCGGTGACGTTTCCGTTGGCATCCTTGGGGGTCAGGCTGCGCTTGATGTACTCGTAGGCGGCGAAGTAGGCGGCAGAACCGGGGCCATCACGGGCCAGGGTCATGGCGCTGCCGCGGAAGACACTGCGGATGCCACCCTCCTTGTACAGCTGGCGGACGACGTCCATGCCACCGGCGTACTTGGGCTTCTGGCCGGGCGGGGGCGGGTTCTGGCCCTGGATCTGCAGCAGCACCTTGACCCGCTCGAAGGGGGCGGTGATGAGGGTCATGGGGATGGCGGAGAAGAAACCCGCGGTGGAGATCTGGGCGATGGAGTACTGGGGGGTGTTGTTCTCCACGCGCACGTTGGACATGCTGCTGACGATCTGCTTGCCAAGATCATAGCCCTATGGACAGTCAGCGTCGAATCCGCAGGGAGGGAACGAAAGGTACTTACCCAGAAGCTGACCGCGAACATGGGGGTCACACCGACCAGGGGAGCGGAGACACCGGCATACAGGCCCTGTTATATGATTAACGATAAGATCCCAGAGTTACCATGAACAGGGAGGAAAGCATACCCGGCGCAAACCCTCACGGGCGACCGTCCGCTTGACGACATCCATGGCACCGGAGTAGACACCCGGCTGGGCCGTCTGCAGGCGGACCTTGACCAGATCGAAGGGATGACCGACGACGACGGCGCAAACACCGCCCGCACCGCCAGCGACGAGGGAACGGATCTGTGCGACGGTCTTGTTGATGGGCTTGGCCTCGAGAGCCTTGACCTCATCCTGGATGGGCTGGGGAGACGACGCGCTGGTGTTGGACATGGTGGCGGGAAGCGGGTATGCGGACGGGACAAATGCGGGAACGGAAGAGAAATTCAAGAGAGAGAAAAAAGAACAGGCTCAAACAACGGGACACGAAGCAGACAATCCGTCAAGATAAAGGTATGAAGGAAAATGGGAAGGAGAAGGTGAAGGGAAAGTGTCTAAGAGAGAAAAATCAACAGTGAAGAGAGGGGAGGAGAAGAAAAAAAAAAAGAAGCTTGGAGCACCCCGCGGGAAAAGAAGAAGAATGACGGGGTTCCTGACTGAGGCTCGGCTTCCTCCGTGAGTGGCCCGTGACGCTGGACCTCGGCTCGGATGGGGGATTACTATTCCTCCGCCCACGGGTCACGGGGTGCTCCCTGCCTGAGGTTCGCTCGGATTAGGGGAGATTCAACGACGGTCTCCGCAGGATCCGCTCTTCCGCCGTTGATGGAGTCTGTAATCTCCTTCGCAACCCCATTTCATTCATGTCATTAATCTCCAATAGGGCACGGTCCTCCATGTCTGTCGAGTCGTCAACGTTACAACCGGGTGAACGGGGGAGCCCTGGTTGATGCCTGGTTGATACCTGGTTGATGCCGCTCCTCCGGATTTCCAGCCATCCACCAACCAAGGATCGAAGTGGAATGATTTGGGAAGTTCTCTCTCTCTCTATCTCTCGTCTGCCTTGTCCGTCCCTCTAGTAGTGGAGTGCCGTCATGATCTTCTGTAATAGACCTTCGTTGGTGCTAGTTCACTTCCTTAATTTCACTGCCGGACTGCCAAGACTCACATGCTTATCGCCCGTCACATGACAATCAGTAATTCAAGAAATATTGGATATTGACACTTTTATTGTCAAGGTATCCTGAAAATTCTGTTAGGGGTACTGAGGAGTATGATTCACTCTACTAAGAGTAAAGTGGTGAGATCTAGGTGGTTTACTGTGTGTAGAGCTATTAAACAAGCCACTGTAGGAATTGTACAGGGGAAACTTCGTTGATAAATAAATGTACAGTCACCTTATCAATTGATGCATTTGATGCATTTGAATAGCACTCTTCCTGTCCATGATCCCAATCATGACATTTTTATTGGAACACATTCTTAAAGACAGATATCTTATCTACAGAGAATCAAGTACTAAATGTAGATTTGTCCCAACGTGATCAAAGCAGGAGCATATGTCACTGAGTTGTACATAGAAACCAGCCAGCCCTTATATCTCAGCATCATACACTTCCAGCACGAACATAGGAATAAGGATCCAACGAATAACTAGGATATGGTTCAGTCACCCTTATTATATCACTCTACTAGCTATTAGTCGGATTCATATATCAGCTATCTGATCAAGCTACCAAGAAAAGCAAACATGCAAGGCTTGTATATACATCACCACAATCCAGCCCGTGCCTCTGCCTTCTTTTCAGCTCCACAACAAACAAGGCAGCCTCTTTTTGGGTAGTGGGTAGGTGGGTATATAGATGTATGTGACAGATCATCGCTCCATATCAGTAGTAGGTATCTTCCCCGCACGTTCGCATGATCAAGCACGCATCGTGGCTGTGGCTGTGATGCTATTTCTGTATCTTGATGCGATGCAATATTGTGCTGGTAGAGTGCATATCTCAAAATAAGGATTAATAATTAGATAAAAGATAAAGAAAGAAAGAAAACAGAAAGTGACACTCATAAAAATTGAACTATAAATAAAGACAGAGATAGAAATAGAAATACAACACCCGTCCACGCAAGCGCATGCATGCATAGAACCCAAGCCTGACAATCTACTACCTACCTACCTAACTAACATAAGGTATCATCTGCGGGGGAACACGAGACCTGCCAGATAAGCCCACAACCAAGACGATCTTCTACTATATACTACGTCCGCCATACATACACACACGTGTACTACGCGAACCAGGCTGCGAATGGGTGGATACAGAGCAGTCGGTACTTCTAGCTGCAGAGTATCATATGCTATTTTAGGTCCTGGAGTACGTCCTGCTTAGAGGCACTGCTTGGCTGCCTTTGCTGCCTTGTGTGGGACTTGCTTTTCTGGGGTAGATGGATGTGCCCACTATACTACAGAGAGGTACGACAGGGGGTGGGGTCATTATTGAGACTACTCTGAGCTCCTATATCCGTGAGAAAAGAGTAGAAGATAGATACTAGGGTATCTGTCTCCAATTACGAATAGAAACTGTAGATAAAATCCACAGATAAAAGCTACTAATCAAGTAAATCAAGCATAAGAATCATAATTAAGCCTCCTAACCCGCCCATCACATTATATACTTGGCATTAAGATAAGCCCGCCAGGGCATATACAGTACAAGCCAAAAACGAGAAACAAAAGAATCAAAAAATCATCAAGCCGTAAACCACCAGGCCCGCCGCGAGGCCGGCCCCGCATTATGGAACAAGCCCGCCCCAAAGTGGGTCATGTCCAACAATTACTAATTACGGTAGTAGGTGATGGATTTAGAGCATGAACAGAGCAGCCAGGCCGGCGGCGCCCAGAGCGCCGTTGGCGATGGTGATAGTGCCAGCAGCCGAGTCGTTGGTCGCCTCGGACGAGGGCGCAGAGCTGGAAGACGAGCCGCTGCCCTCGCCGGAGCCGCTGCCGCTGCCGCTGCCGCTATCGCTGTCGCCGCCGTTGCCGCCGCCGTTGCCATCACCGTTGCCATCCTCGTTGTCGTCGCGGTTGCTGTCGGAGCCGCCGGTGCTGGAGGGGGAGGCGGAGTTGGACTTGGAGGCGGTGGAGCTCTAAGAAAGCGTTAGTAGATGACTCCTGATGGTCTCTAGGATGGAAGACTTACGCTGTCGGCACCGGTGCTAGTGGCAGTAGCAGAGGCGGTACCGGAGCCGTTGGCATCAGATCCGGTAGACTTGGGAGAGTCAGTGGACTCAGAGTCGGAGCCAGAGCCCGAGCGAGTGGTGGAAGAATCCGAGCCACCCGCGCCGCCAGCGCCGCCAGTGCTCTCGCTGCCGCTGGCAGAAGAGCTGGAGCTGGAGTCGGAGTCGGAGCCGGAGCCGGAGCCGGAGCCGTTGCCGTTGCCGTCGGGGTTGGAGGTGGAGCCCTTGGGGCAAGACTTCAAGGCGATGTTGACGACAGCGGAGCTGTCCTCATCGGGGCAGGCCTGGGACGTGCAGTCGCGGACACCGAAGCGGTAGTTCTTCTTCTCGCAGAGGCACTCGTGGTCGTTCTTGGGGCAGCCCAGTTCGGAGGCCTTGTTGTCCATGTTGGTGATGCACATTTGCTAGAGATGGTCATTAGTTGGGGCGAAAGACGGCGACGGTCAGATAGAGACCTACCGCGCACTGGCCGACGGAGACATCAGCGGCCACCATGCTGGCCGTAGCCAGGAGGGCGGCGATGGACAGAGAGAAGGTCTTCATTGTGTAGGTATAGTTGACGGATAGGGTTTGGATAGGAATGGCACGAGGTGAAGTGCTCACGATATAATGCTCGAGGGGATGGGGAGTGAAGAATAGAGAAAAAAACAGGACCAGGACAGAGGGCAAGAGCCAATTTAATAAACCAGACGACCAACGCTCAAATCACATCGGACAGGTCCTGGCTGCACGATGGAGTGGCGTTTTCGAACTTTGTTTTTTGTTTTGATTTTTTATTAATATTGCTCTTACTTTTTCCCTTTCTTTACAGTTTAATTTTCAAGGTGGAGAACAACAACGGGAAAAGAGTGGAAATTGAAAATGCGATCATCAGTGCCATTGTCGGCCAGCTTCTGAGGACAGCCAACGTGGCTAGGGGCAGCATCACGGGCCAATTCCCTTACTAGATGAAGTCATCGACCAGGTAGTGCCCTGCAGGATAGAAGTCGATCTGCAAGGTGAGGTTGAAATTTGGTGGATCATCATCCAGTGGCCGCGAGGCCAGGGATCCACCTGGTCCCTGGCTCCAATACTATAGGTTATTGATTTAATGACCCCACATAAGCCGTCGAGATTAGCGCTTGATAGTTTTTGGTACTGAGATTGCCGCGCCCAGAACCAGACCGCAGGTTGTGTCGGCTCACGGCTGTATCCACGAGATCCCTCCAGGGGTTTGAACAAACAACATCCCTTGATTTGGGACCAGTTTTCTTGAAAACGATGGACAGATACTTCTTGCAGGAAATTTGAGGGGCGAGACACTCTTCAGACCCCCCTGACACAATGCAAATACCGCTGTGTAACGAGTTACGTCAATCGACAGCAAGTGTTTGGCTGCCCAAAATCACAGGTCGACTGCGGTTGGACCTTGAGGTACGACATGCAGCTGTGTTTTGATTTTTCCTTGATTCCATTTCGGTTTACTTTTTCATGTTCTTTTGCTCGTCCAGGACAGAAAGGATCGACGGATGTATGGAACTATTGGATGAGAATAACTCGGTACCGGATCATGATTTGAGCAGGAAAAGCCTCTAGCCCACCGAGAACTGAAGAGTGAAGAGGGATTGTCCACTAGCCACAGATCAATGTTCGGTCGGAGATTAGTCTGTCCAACATACGAGTCAGTCCACCAGCAACCAGCCAACTAAGGCTAAGACACGGGTTGCTTAGCGAACTCAATTGGCGGAGGTGGGGATTTGGCCCTGATTTCTCGCCACCCGCTTTATTGAATCGCTCGAACAACCGTGGACCACGACGGAAATCTGATGAACTGTGTGGGAGGCATGTTGGACTCCGCTGGACCCAAGTACAGCATACAACAATAGGGGGTAATGGATTTCTTTTCCAGGGATGTAGTAGCGGTGCAGAGGGTGCGCATCGAAATTTGCAAGGGATCGACTGCCTTGCTGGCAGAAACTTGTTGACCCATCATCATGAAAAGGAAAAGATTAACAAAGAAAAGATACGGGGCAGACCGCCTCGACCAGCTCCGACCGCCCTACCAAGCCAACTCGCCCCATTCTCAAACGATCGGGGGAAGGATTGGAAATCCAGCCAAAGTCGGTCGAGTTGTCGACACCAAGTGGATTTAGGGCAGGATCCATCTGATGTGGCGGTGCGTGTTCCCTCGGAGATACCACTTCCGGCCGAGTGTTGTAGCTTCCCCAGCCACCCAAGCCACCGACATCATCCTCCAAACAACAAGGATTGATACAGCAACACCTTGCCTATACGAGACAAAAGGGATTTATCAAGTCATCCTTCGACAGGGTAGCATCAATTTGCCACGGTCATTAGAGGATGGTCGCATGGTCACGTGTAGACGACAGTACGTTGTTGATACGCAGTTGATACGCCCTTCCGACAGACCGGATCATGCAGCCTGACATGGCCCATGTGTCCAGAAGTCTAGGTAAACTAGGTTGGGACAGAAGGCATGCAGGAGCAAAGCGACGCATGGCGATGTTTGACCTTGGCCCTGGATCATCTAGTATGCACGAACAGCGTTGGAATCTTCGACTTTAATCGTCCCGTGGAGCAAGATGCACCGTAGTGGGGTGTTCGATCTCTTGATCCAACAAACAAGTAGGCTACAAAGGCCCATCTGTCAACAGGGGTAGATCCGGATCACCCGCAGGCCACAATCATGTGTGGGTATGACGAGGTTCTCTGTACAATTCGGTAGCCAGTCTGGTATCCCATTGCCAATCCACTTCAACTCCACCCACTACGCTGAGATGTACGGAGTACAGGTGGAGAAGATGTAAGAGACCTCCAGCTCAGGAGGGGGCACATGCAGTATGAGGCAGTCAGCCACACAAGTCGTTCCAGGAATAAGTGCCTGCTTGCTTGGTCAATACTCTACATTGAGATGCAGCCAACTAGGTAGTACCTAGCAACATCGTGTAATTCAAATGCTTGTTTGTCACTTAGCCAGGCGTTGAGCACTTTGGTCGATCAAATGCAAGGAAGCCTAATCCTGAGAAGTAGCAATTCTATGGCAGGACCAAAGCAGTGCATCATCCCTGTAATTGTTAGGGATATCAATCCTGGAAGCAAGGGCAGCGGCAGTTTACATCATGCTCTATCAAGCTGCTGAAGCTCTTGTTGTACGCTTGTTTGGTCATTAGCGGGGTTCTACTGTATTTATCAGGCAAACAAGAATATGATTGTTTGAAATGAGATTTGTGTAACATACTTCCATGCAACCACTGTAACTGTACTCCGTGGATCTATAACTATCTTCAATCTATTTTGATTTGTCGGATTGGTATCTCTGATATTGACTTTTTAGTTGAATCGGTCAGTAATCATCAAAATTGATATTCTCTAACATATCAAAATGTATACCTAGTTTGAAATACTCACTTGTCACAACTTTCAATATTTCACGATATAGTAAACCCGCTTTTACGCCAGCCATGCTGCGCAGTCCAAGGGAGCTCCGTCGCTGGCTCTGAAGCGGCTATCTTCGATGCCGCAGGGGAAGAACGCTGTTTGATGTGGGCGGTAGCACCGGGTATTGTATAACCGTAGGCCTTATGCAATTGGTAGTGGAGATTCACCGAGAAGGGCATCCCTTTGCCATCAGTGTCTATCAGGTCCCGGCGATTACGGAGCCACAGCTTTACGGGGAATAGTCTCATCCATCCTTGATGATAAGCGAGCTGCTCACCGATAGCCGTGTACCTGGGCCAGCTGGTACGTAGATGTGAGGACAGCAGACGTCAGCACGTCGTCGTCGGGGTAGAACCCCACCGCAATTTCTTGATGAGCACTAGACTTAGCATAGACCAGAGATCAGCTCTGAGTGTTGTTAAGAGAGAAAATTGATCCATGGCTGAACCTCACTGACTGTGCTGGCCACAGATCGCCGGAACGGGATAAGCTGGGGACCAATGGCATGGCGATGACACCGAGTCACGCTCTCCATGATGTATTTTCGGGATAGTATCAGCTTTACAGTCTTCTATAGAAACAGAACTAATTCCTACATGTCGGTCTCTAGCCTCGCTCCTACGAGACGATTGACCATATCGTTAACTATGCCTATGACTGGGAAATTGGCTCCCTAGTGGCCTGGACACGGACCAAAGAGTCTCTTTTAGGCGCTCTCGGCGCCTTCTTGATGTCAGAGCTCCAAGTTTCCGGCACGCGGTGTTCAGTCCGACAGCCTAGAGAGTGCTTTCGCTCTGGTCTCTGTAATTTACTTTCTCAATCAGCGATGACTTTTTGGAAGCATCGAAAGAAACTCAGCTATTTTGCTCCCATAGTTCCTTGCTTTAGTATTCGTTTGCCCAGATGCGGCCCCAGAAGCAGGCACACGACTGTGAGCATCAGGATCGACGACAGGGGCCCAGCGTGGTCATCATTGACAGAGATATACGTATAGCACGACAGACGAGGACCACTGAAGAGTTGATGGGGATGGTGATGTGAAAGGATAGAGGCAGAGGTGGTGGAGGTGATGGTAAGTATGGTCACCTGATCTGTTTCGGGTGCTGCCTGAGGGAATTATGAACGTTTTGAGCAAGTGGATAATAACTAACATAGAAATATCATCTCGTACAATTGAGCTATATCAGACAATTTGGCCGGACAACGTGCATTCGTTGTATCATGGCAGGAAACTGCAATCTGGGGTTAGGAATACTTCCCTTGCACAATGCAAATCATGGCGATAAAGAAGATTCACTTTAGGATGGTATTGGCAAGGTAAACCTGGATGATTTAGATAAACAGTTTATGAGCATTATTTGTGAAAGGAGGGTCCTCAACGTGTCACTTGATTGCAGACCACAGTTTGGTTCCTTTTATTGCACATCCAACCGACTCGAAACTTCCCCTTTACATGTAGACGATCTCTACCTTTCATGGCTCTAGTTGAAAGCTCACAATATTGCTAGTTAATTGTTCCTTATGCATTGACCATTCACAAGGACCCAATTTGTGGCGGACTCACAGGCGCATGAGTCGGTTGACTCCCACGTTACCTCCAATCCATCCCACCATCTATTACTCCAGCTACGCGAGACACTAAGTCAAACGACAAAAGTCCCGATTAGAAGCGCATAAAAGTGCCAAGCGCGCCGTTAGACTAATTCCAGTGGGCCAGACCGTCGGATGGAGTTCCTGTCTCCGTCCCCGCATGATCAACGGCGCCATTCTTTGTCGGTCCTCGGCTGGTTATCAACCGGTCTATCTGTCTCTGCTCCAACCGACTGCCTGAGATTCTGGTTATTCAATACACGAACTCAGAGGTAGTCAATAAAATAAAAAGAAAGCCGAGACAATGAGCAGGAGGGAGACAGCGAACAGAAGCCAGGAATGAAGAAGGAATGGCCGAACCCAACCCAACGGTGAAACTCGACCCGGGAGCCAGTCACTCCCCCCGCTAACACTGCGGAATCACTGGAATGGACAGGGATTCGCTGATCAGTGGGACCAAAGCACCACACGGCTACCAAGCCGGCAGCCGCCAGTTCCCCACGTCAAACAGCCATCTGCCACGCACCCTTCGATGGCATGACAACCGTCTAGGCCTGCACCCGATTGACTCGACCGTCTAATGTACCCCTGGCACCCCTGCAGCTATATCCACTAGGCTTTGCTACGGTACTACATGGCTTATTTAGTCCGCGACTGGCGCGGATGACGAAGGGATTGAACTTGTGAGAGGATGAGGCCGACGATGGATCCTGCTCCGTCGACCGGAAAGTGGGTGTGGGATGCGGGGTTCTGGCCCGTGCCGGGGACCTTATAAAAATAACTGTCTGTTAAAGGCTAGAATAGGAAAGCACCGTTAAAAAAGGGTAGGAGCTTAATCGCCACATCTTTGTCGACGGATATGCCAGAGTGTTCCGGGGGGAGATGGACCAAACCGGTTTTCATCAAAGAATCTTGCAAGATCCAGCCCGGGCAGAGACCACCAGGACAAATTCCTAGCACCGCTGGAAGAGAGCTAGATAATCTCGTCTCTCGCTCACCGCAACCGAAAGTCGAGCTTTGGGACTTTGGGAGCAACCCAGCACATGATAAACACCGGGATGGCCAAGAGTATCCACAGACTAATGCATAACCGTCTCAATGGGTTCATGGTAGCCTGGGCCTGTCATGTTGATCCCCCGCTCCAGATAAGCCATCATCCACAGGGGTAATTGCTTAAAGATTTGCCCGAATCCCGATTCAACGGTACCTTACTGGTGTCGCAACCATCATCATGGGATTCACCAGCATTCTCCGCCGACTATCCAGCCGCAAAAGCCCCGAGCCCACGCGGCCATCCGGGGCTGAGTCTCCTAATGATTCGGCTTATGAGAGCCTCAATCATGTAAGAAATCATGCTCAACTGCTGTTCTGGAAATAAAATCACTTACCTGCATACAGAACCGGGAACAAACCCCATCTCCGGAACAAATACCATGCCAGGAAGATATCACATCCCGAGAACAGATCCTTATCCGGGATACTATATCCGAGGACACATGGGTAGTCGACAGCAGCAAAATCACCGGCGGGCCATTCCACTATCTTCTATCAAACTCGGGGAAGAACACCCGCGGTTTCTTGATCGACGCCTTCAACCAATGGCTTCAAGTGCCTAACGAATATCTGCAATCTATCAAAAGAATTGTCGACATACTCCACACCGCATCACTTCTGTACTCCTCCTATTACATATTTAGGAAAGAGGAAGACATCACTAACAATATATAGTGTCGACGACATTGAAGACAACTCCCCTTTACGCCGGGGTCTCCCCGCCGCCCACGTTGTCTTCGGCACCGCGCAAACCATCAACTCCGCCAACCACGCCTACTTCCTCGCTTCGCAGGAACTACAAAAGCACGAAAGCCTCTCCGCCCACCAGATCTTCACCGAAGAGATGCTCAACCTCCACATGGGCCAAGGCATGGACCTGTATTGGCGCGACCTGTCCATCTGCCCCACAGAAACCGAGTACATTAACATGGTCAACAACAAGACCAGCGGTCTCTTCCGATTGGCAATCAGACTCATGATGCTCGAAAGTTCCTGCACAAAGTGAGACCCTTCCCCTCCTACTTTCTACATCCCCCTTCCATACATCTCCCAGATTCTAACCCGACCGCAGAGACTACGTCCCCCTAGCCAACACCCTCGGCGTAATCTTCCAAATCCGCGACGACTACAAAAATCTGCAAAGCGACGAATACGCCGCCAAAAAGGGCGTCTGCGACGACATCACCGAGGGCAAATTCTCCTTCCCCATCATCCACAGCATCCACGCCAACCCCGACGACAAGGTTCTGCTGAACCTGCTCAAGCAGAAGACGGACAGCCCGGGCGCGAGCGACGTCGCTCTGTCATGCCTGCGCGCAACGAACAGCTTTGATTACACCCAGCGGGTGATACGGGATCTGGCGCGGCAGGCGGAGGAGTTGGTGGAGGAGGTGGATTATGGGAGGGGGAAGTTTCAGGGCATTCAGGCGGTGCTGGGATTGCTTCAGAAGTGAGGCCTACTGCTACTTTTACAGCGTATTTCATGATTATGATATCTCTGGTTTTCTTCCTTCCTTTGCTTGAAATGCCAATATTACTGTTTCATGTCGTGTCGGCAGTCTCATTCAAGATTCCATGGACTTTCAATATCACTATAGGCATAGAATAGTGTCCAAAGGCGTGTGGGTCAGCTAAATGTGAATTCTCGACAGATCAAAGTGCCATCACGCCTTGATAGGTGGCAAGGCCACAAAAAATGAATGATGGTTTTGCTTCCTCGGTATCAAAGACCAGTGGCTCTACTGGCAATGTGCTAAAGCACATATTTAGCACTAATATCTTATCAAGAGAAAGATATCTCAATGACCATTACACCACCTCTGTTGCTTTACTCCGTAATAAATCTATATTATTTTACTGCTTTTGTCTCCACCTCTCTATCAATATCGGCGTAAAGGTGTCGGGTTCGATATCATGGCCGCGGACAAGCCCACAGAGGTGCAGGAACGACTTCCCATGGAGCTGATCCAGCATATTCTAACGATGATCCCTGGTATTCAATCCCTGGCGGCTGCAGTGCTCGGAGGCCCTCAATTCTACCATGCCTTTTTAGACGCCCAGCTTCGAATCACGCAGGAAGTCTCCACTCGACAAATCCCGCCAGAGATACACCACGATGCTCTAGCGGCAGAGGTGTCTTCACGTCGAACTATCTAAACCCGCCAGGAGGTGGAGGTCTTTTTTGAAGATTACTTTGCCCGCGACAGGAAGCCCTTCCATTCGTCTCTCCGATGAACACTCTCGCAAGCAAGCTCTCTCGCACGCCTCCACGACACGGTCGACTCTCTCACCGCGTCTCTTGTGTTCTCAGTCCTGGCGCAAAAGCCCAGTGCGAATCCGATTTCAAGGGGGGAACAGCACCGCATTCAGTGTAATTTCTATCGGTTTCAGATATATTGCAATCTATTTTGCAATAAGATGATGATTCCAATCGATGCAGATCATGATCAGCGGGAGGCGTACCTTGCACACTTTGCACCGTGGGAGAATGAGCAGTTGGCATGTATACATGACTACTTGCTTGAGATCATCGCACCTGGTTTGTCTTTCATTCTTCCCCCACCCTCGTATCTACCACTCTCTCATTAGCTACCCTTCTACCTGAATACTACTATAATTCCACTAACCAGCACCCAGCATTTGAAGAAGTCGCGGTGAGCGATCCCGACTGGGTCAGCCTCTTCACTATAATGGACAACGGCCTCGACGAAGGCGCCCTCGAGCATCATCTCTCCTTCGGACTGGCCCACATTCAACGCTTCACACAAGCCAAAGACGCCCAGTCCAGCATAAACTGCTCTCGTTGTTCAAAAAAGAGAGCAACCGAACCTTCCTAGCCGCCGCGTTGCGAGAATCCAACTACCCCGACAGATGGACGCTCGAGGAGTTCGATTCCGAAGACGAGGCAGAGCTCATCCCCACGCCGTGGTTTTCCGATCCGGACAGAGGACCCGAGGATGTCTAGCGCAGGGCACTTCGGGAGCAGACGATGGACCAGTGGTTGTTTTCGCCGGCGCAGATCCCGCTGCGGCGGTGGGGATATGTGCTGTGGGATTGGCCTAGGCATGAGGACTGGGGTGTATTTGAAAGTGCTTGGGAGGGTATTGATGTGGAGAAGTATGAGCGGCAGGAGATGAGTCGGCGACTGCAGGAGGGTGGGGGGATGCGGATCAGGGCACAGGGTATGGTTCAGCGGGGGATGTTGGAAACGTGCCACTATTTATGAGTGTCTCGCTTGGTCGCGAAGAATGTAGTGATGGAGTTGATCTCAGGAGTTGTATTAGACCCATGCTCGTTAATAGGGATATCGGTCAGTTCGGTCCTCCTTCAACCACCCAGACGCCCGTCTCTACACGTCTCCTCGTTTGCATCCTTCTTCAATCATGCAGATGTCTGTCTCTACATGTTTCTATTATCATGTTCTTCTCCACCATCCAAGTTCCTAAGATTTAATGAAGGAGACGTGTGAAGACAGGCGTCTGCGTGGATCCCCAGGCGAGAAGATAAGAATCAGAGAACAAATTTCAGGGCTGGTAGGTCACCCGCTACTATAAATAACATCTAAGCTAATCACATAGCAGAGTCCAAGTAGGTTCTATGTTAGGTATACCAGGCAGGTTAAGCCCCATACCAATCGTTGGTCAACGTTTTGGCGTAGCGGGCATGATTCTATGCCCTTCATATCACCCAACCACAAGATTGCTACCATTTGACCTTAGTATACTATAGCATATCAATATCCATCAACCCACAGAGTCGCACATAAAAATGATTATTATACCTCCATGGATTCAAACAAACCAGCACCATCCACTCACCCTCATACAAACCATCAACACAGTTCTCAAGTTCCAGCCCTAACCAACCAAACCTTACCATACCACTCCAGTGATCCTCCCGACCCACATCAAGTGGATGCGAACCACCAACCACCCCCACCAACGGTTCCCTAAAAAAAATTGCAAAGAAAAAAAAAAAAAAAGAAAAAGATATTGACCGACGCAGGGGTCGAACCTGCAATCTCTTGATTCGTAGTCAAGCGCCTTGCCATTGGGCCAGCCGGCCTTGTTGAAGTCTAAGTATCAGAATGTGGTACATATTCGGGACAAGTACTTTTTTGTCATAGCTTTCATTATGGTACATTTTTTACTTGGGGGACAGGTAGATAGGTACATGGGAATCAAATAATCAATCGTCCAAGACGACAAGGAAATCAACAAAAGAAAAGAACAAAAAAAAGTCTCGCAAAC